GGGGACAGAAACGGTTTGACACATTCCCTTTCCCCTAATGCACCTGTTCACCTGATAATCCAGGTGTGTGACCCATCCACCAGGTACCTGGAGCGTGTGCAGAGCTTGTCGCGACGGCTGAAGGCGCAGAAGGAGACGGGGCTGGAGAGAGCAGTGTGGTGGGTGGAGTACATTATCGAACATGGCAATGACTACCTCAGGTATGTGGGACAAGCGCCCTCCATGCTGCTGATAATTTGTAATCTCTTTACTCCAAGTGTCGGTCACAGGTTCATCAGGTATTTCCTTCCTCTTCTAGTTGTTGTTCTCTTATGTTTACTGTATCTTGGAAGCTTTCTGTATATGGTATGAATCAATGCCATTCCCCCTTGTAACTCATTGTGTTTACATTTGCAACCTTCGGGGCGGTTTGCTGCCTATCCTGACGCGCCTGTGAACGCGTGTACACGCACGCGGGAGTAGATACGACAGATACAGATAACAGATATAACAAGAGATGTAGAGTAGATACAAGAGGTTGGCAGCAGTAACACAACATGATGTAGGTCTGGATGAAGGTTTTATGTGAAGCTAGAAACCGGACACTGTGTAGCTTAAGAAAATGTCAAATATGTTCCCCTCTTTTCGTGTAAATTGATTAACGTACAGCCTTTTATTGCATATGGGAGACTGTTCTATATTTTGGGACCTTTCACAGTACTGTATTTGTATATGGTTTCTGCTTTGGTCGAGTTCAACGGGCGCTACAGAAGTGGTTCGGCATGTTTCATGTCACCTAATGCCTCTGTTCACCTAACAGTACAGAGATACCCAGGAGTTAGACAACAGTTCTGGAGTTGCATCGTGGAGAGGTCAATAGCTCAACTTTAGGGAAGAACTTGATAGAAGTCTAAGCTATATATACACACAGGCTTCCTGTCCTCCAGAAAAGGATTTATTATTATATTGAAACTTTAGACTTATAAATGTTGAAAACCATTTTAAGCATTTTTTCTTGTATATATATATAGTGCATAGTGGTTGTAAGGTGGTCAGTGTAGCTGCCTCTCATCCAGAAGGTCCCGGGTTCAACGCCCAGGCAGGACAATACATTAGGGCATGTTTCCTTACACCTGATGCCACTGTTTACCCAGCAGTAAGCAGGTAGATGGAAATTAGGCACGTGCTGTGGGCTGCAACTTGGAGAAGGTCAAGTATTGGCCAAGAGAACCTCGAGCAGGACCTCAAGCAGCCTAACAGCCTTCCTCTCCCCTGACAATGTCAACCATATGATTTCCTGAGGACTATTAAGACATTCCCAGACCCTTCTCTACGAGAGACGAGTGTGGAAATTGAAATTGAAATAAGTTTATTGAGGTAAAATACACACAAAGGGATGAGGTAGCTCAAGCTATTCTCACCCCATTCAGTACAACGTGTTAATATATACATAGCCACACATCACAAATAAACATATTGCCAAACATTCTGAGAGGTAAACATATACATTTCAGGTGTGGAGGAGCCTCCATTACTGTTACTACACAGTAGAGCAGTGGCTGCTCTTGAAGACATGTGGTAGCAGGTTCTGGCATGTCCGCCTACGAGCCTCCATAAACCTACCCTTATACCGACCCTTTGTCTAAACCTTTGACTTACAATAGGCTAGTTAAGTAGTGTGTGTACGGTGGACATGCTTAACACCATGCCCGCCGAGACACCCTCAGGTGGAGTGTTTGTGGGAGTGGTGCCCAAACTGCGGGCACCAGATCACCTCACGGGTAGAGGGCATGCACAAAGGGGACACACTCGCTCCTACAACACTACATCTTAAAGGCAGGGAGTTACTAGGGGGAAAGTGCAACGCCATTACGACTATATAACGCTTGGAAGGGGTCAGGATAAGGACTTGGGATGGGACGGAGGCGGGGTTGGGGGGGGGGGAGGAATGGTGCCCAACCACTTGGACAGTCGGGGATTGAACGCTGACCTGCATGAAGCGAGACCGTCGCTCTACCGTCCAGTCCAAGTGCTTAGAATACGTGGCAATTGTGCCCATTTAGATCTAAACTAGCAGCGCATGAGTTGGTACATCATTGTTAAGTCATACCCGAATTTGTGTCACTCTTCATATAGCCTACAATACTTCAATTACTTAGTAATAGCCAGTGTTGAAATATCATGCCCCATACTTTATACACTGTATATATTGGTGAGCTTGGTGGGACGCACATACCAGCTCCCTTCCACACCTCCAGTGTTCATAAACGTCTTATGTACAATATTATTTAAATAACTACAACATGCAATGGTACATAATAATTAATAATTTATTTATAACAATGCTACCTGGGGTTCCTGGCTGTGCCTGTCTCCCCCTCCCCTCTCTTCCCCTTATCCCTCTCCCTCCTCTATACTCCCTATCCCTCTCCCTTCTCCTCTACCCCTTATACCTCTTTGGTCTCCTCTACCTCTATCCCTCTTTCTTCTCTGTGCAAAATATTTTCCACTTAAAATTACCTATTCAATAAACATCTCTTAACAACATAGAGCTATGAAGTTGTTCACTGTTAAACTTATTACTAACCATACATTACTGACATTCAACCTAAGAGGATTGGACCTCTGTTCATAAATAACATTAACTATAACGCACAATAGCCAGATTCTTCCTATTGAATCTGGGGCCAAATTCTGCCAAAACCTTCCCACTTTGCTATGAGACGATGAAGCCAATATACATAACTGTTGATTCTCATTATTAATCAAAGTGGAGGATACCCGAGTCAACATTTTAACCCTTACACTGCTACAGCCTGGGCTGTAAATGGGGGTATACGCTTGGGCTGGATGAAAATATATTTGAATTATGTGAAAATTAATATTAAATGTTAAACAAATCTCCAACTTATTGGCTTCTGCATCGTGAAAGTTTCATCCCAATATTTTCAGAAATGGATTTTTTTTTAAAAGAACGTTTTGTTGATAAGGAGAACAGCTCCTATTAACTGGAGCTGAGGGATAATGCAGTAATAAGGAGATGCAAGCACCTGTCCAATGCACAAAGACACAAAGAAGAATAGTAGTTAAAGTGTCCACAAAGTGGATACGCAGCTGGTGCTTTTATAGCATTGCTGAGTAATACATAACATAAATAATAATGAGTAGGTATGTTATTATGATCTATTTTGTTATATATCATACAAATACATTATTCAATAGTAATATCTGTTACTTTCACCAATGTCCACAATTTTTTTAGGGGAATTTTTTTTCTTCTTGTTTATTATCTGATTTTGTTGTAACCTCTACATCCGGGAGAATGCATACTTGTCCATAACTATGTGAAGAAAGAATTAAATTGGTCAACAAATAAATCAGTCATAACTGGCAGAACTTGGGACAATGAATATTTCTTGGCTGATATTTTTCACAGATTTCAAACTCTATTTTCCTTGTTTCTTTAGATTGTGTTGTTGATTAGGGACCAGATTAGGGCTTTTTGACTTATATAAAGTATACCCTAAATATCCCCAAATTAAAATTATTATAATTATCACTATATTTTGTTTTTTTAGGGGGTTATTTTTTCTTGACTTCATTTCAACGCACATATTGACCTACAACTTTCACATATTCGAGTACAAATGCCAAACAATGTTTATTAAAACATACAAGTAAATTAATGAATTAGAACTACCTTAAACATTGTCGATAACTTCAACTCCAATTACTGTATCTCTAAAACTAGAGTTTCAACACTGAGTCAGCGTCAAAAAATTCAATTTCCGACTGATTCTCACCATTTTTATATATAGTGCGCGCCGCTGTCTGTTCTACAATCCTATTAGGATGAATTTTTCCTAAATACTAAACGTTTTGAGTTATAAATTTTGTTGTCTGAATTTGGTGCATATTTCAAATGCCATCTTGATGATTTTTTTACAGTAAACTAAACTGAAAATCTATACTAAAATCTATTAAAATGAAGATCATGTACTATTCTGAGAGCATAATAACTTTTTTTTTTCAGGGATATTCCTGCACGGGCCCTAAGCCTCTGGCTGGCCCACTAAGTGTTGCTTGTTCTTGTTTTACTTGGGCGGAGGATGAGTATTTATGACTCGTATGGTCACTTCTGTAAGATTTTGTCCCACATGTTTACACGTGTTTAACAACTACTTCTGCTCTGTTGAATCTAAGTTGAAATCTTAATTGGTTTGTAACTGCACTGTGTCAGATAATGTTCCAGTGATCTGTCGGGCATTTTTCCACAATGCTGACATTTCCTCTCATCTTCTGGAACCTGTAAGAAGGTAAAGAGGCTAGAACTCCACCCACATCGACTGATGCAAAATAGTTAGGATATTTATATCAGCCATGGATAGCTCCGGGGAGCCGTAGGGGCTCCCCCCCAGAAATACATGAATAATCAAAAGTTTTCCGATTGTTCTTTCTCTTGGGGGTGACATTTTGGATATATTCTATAGTTATTTGATGTATCCAACCACTTGGACTGGTCAGTAAAGCCTTGCATCTTGAAGTGTCAGTGTGATATATCCAATGGTCCAAGCCTGTTGGGTAGTAGGTACCGTTCCCTTCCCCCATCCTTATATTCTAGTTCTCTGTCCTCATATCTCTCTCAAGTGCAATAATTCCTGGCTTGGAATTATTGCCAGTAGGCACCAGGCCTACTGGCTTGGTGCTCTCTACTGATAATTACCTTACCTTATAATTATGAGTACATTCTAAGTTAATTTCATGCATATCTTCCATGAATAACTATATTTTGACTTGACAGGTTCTCAGGTGCAGATCTGAGCTTGGCACAGTACTTGCTGCTGGACGTGATAGCCATCATAGGAGCCGTCGCCCTCGTCATAGCTGTGGTCTTCTTCTTCTTGGGCAGAGCCATTTTGAAGAGAATTTGGCCCTCGAGTATTGAAAAGGCTAAGCTGCAGTGAGTTGGCTGCTAGATCAGCTGCGTTCACTACTGTTGTTATGTACAATCTCTTCTTAATGGTGCTAATCTGGGCTCAGTGAGTTGAATGCCTTGGTTGTCAAAGGTTTGAACATCAATTTATTCCCCTAACCGGGATGGTGGGAATGTATCAAATTGGCTTACTTTTCTTACGGAAGGAGTTATCCACTCAGTTGACAAAGTATTTGCAAAGCAGTTGGGTAAAACATCTGAACATATTTCCTTATACTAGATGACTCAGTTCACCTAGCTGTAAATAAGGCACCTGGGAGTTAGGCAACTCTTGTGGGTTGCAACCTGAGAAAGCTTTACTGGCTTCCTGTCTCTGACAATGGGAAATCATTTGGTTGTTACTCTGAAAACCAGGTTATAAAACATTACAGACTAAGCTTCCCAGCTTAGGAAATTCAAATTTGGATTGTCAGTCCAAAATGATGCTAAACAACAAACTTAAAATATAATAATCTGATAGCATCAATTTACATCAACACAAACTGCAACAAGATGAATTCTCTTATTCCCGGTTGAGGAAAAAATTCCCCCATCAGAAGCTTTGAGGATCTGGATTCAAGACATTACGGGATAGACAGTTGTCGATTGTTTCGTGTTCATTTTGTGTGGGTCATCACAGTACTGATACACATTTGTGTCAGTAATTGTAATTATTATTTGGGTAAATTTTGCTTCCTGCTAATAAAAATAATAGAAAATGATGTGGGATTAAGCTATAAATTAAATTCTGAGAAAATGGTCAATGATAGATTGTTTCAAGCAGAGTTAAAACATATATATATAAAGTAGTAGCTGTCTCATATGGCCAACAGACCTTCTAGTGTTTCATTTATTTGCATGTTCTTATAGAGAAGGTGTGAATAAACAAAGGAAGCGAGTTATTTACGATAGCTAGGTCTATGTAATTCACTTAACTGAGTGTTCACATATATTTTTGTATAGAACTCTTTTTTATTGTAAATTTAACATCATTATTTGAACAAAAATATTAATAGACACTTAACACATAAGTGTGTTACAAATGGATAAAGGTCAATATTCAAACTTCAGTTAACATTACAAAGACAGGTAAAGAAACTCAAGGGAGCTTTCACTTTTTCAAATGCCAGTAGTAAAACCGAACTTTGTGATGCATGCCTTTGTGAACCCTCGGACTGCTCGCCTATTTAAAAGTTCAGTATTATGTTGCGACTGACAAAAAAAAAATAGTTAAGGAATCAAATGGGAAAAACTTGCTTGTGCTCATTTGCGTGTAGGAGCCAGTTGCAAATAGCGACTGGAGCAGTGTAGGGGTTAAGACCTGTCATCGTGTATGTTACAGGCATATCATGTGACCTTGGTCACTTATGGAAGCACTACCCTGGGGCAAGTTCATTGACTATCTCTCCCCATATTAATAACAATATTTATAAAAAGAAAAAAAAAGACTGAGCATTATAAGCAATCAAACTCCTCTTTTTAGCGAGTATCCTTGTTGGCTAGTTCGTAGAGCCACCGAGGGCTTTGTTTATACTACACTGCATACACGCATAGTACAATATTTTTTGTACAAGACTAACACCCACATCATAGCTCAACCAGGCCATTAGTGCTTCCCTTGCCTCAACAGTGGCAATATGGTGAATAATGCCATGTTCCAATTCTATTAGTTTCTTTCTCATATTTATTTCCTTCCAATTTATTATGTTCTCACTGAGAAATTCCTCGTTCTTTCCAAGCAGTCTTGTTATAAAGTCAATTCTAGTGGTAATGGCTTTAGCTAAATGATAGCCCAACACATGCAACTCTGTCACACATTAAGAACAAAAAAATTCTTGGAAGGAACCGGAATGTCTTGGAATATTTTAAATTAAATTAAACCCCCCTCAAGAAATTAGATGCAATCACCTCCCCTTGAGAAAGTAAATGCAGTCATCTCCCACCTCAGCAAAGTAGATGCAGTCACCCCTACCCCCTCTCCCCATCCCTGAAAAGGTAGATGTGAGAAAGTAGACAGTCATCCCCCTTGAATTAAGTAGATGCAGTTATCCCCTAATAAAGTAAATGAAATCACCCCCTTAAAAATTGCAGATTAAGTCAGACCCTTCAAAAACAGTTTCAGTTATGCCTTCAAGAGAGGGTAGTCCCCCAGAGTAAACAATGCATCAGGGGGTATGAATGGATAGGAAATAAGTTTGTGATGATATTTTTTCTTTAGTTACATTGCTACTGAGAAACTCAAGAAATGGCTCAAATACCTCAAACTCAAGAAATGGCTCAAATACCTCAAACCCAAGAAAAGAGTGAAGTACCTCAGAAATACAAGAAAGACTGAAACACCTGGAATACACAAGAAAAGGTTGATATGCCTCAAATATATAAGAGAAGGCTGAAATGCCTCACAAACACAAGAAAAGGCTGAAATACCTCAAAACACAAGAAAAGGCTGAAATACCTCAAAACACAAGAAAAGGCTGAAATACCTCAAAACACAAGAAAAGGCCGAAATACCTCAAAACACAAGAAAAGGCCGAAATACCTCAAAACACAAGAAAAGGCTGAAATACCCCAGAAATGCAAGACTAGACTAAAATACCTCACAAATACAAGAAAAGGCAGAAATACTTGTGAATATCCGAACACATGAAGTCTTTAATTTAAGGGACTGTTCCATTTGTCAATGTTTTTCTTGTGCATATATAGATTTTTTTTTTTTTAGCAGGAAAACAAAACTGTTGTAATGATTTAATTTTTGTGGAGACTATTCGTTTGGGAATTATCATTTGTAGTTTATACATTTTAAGAAAAATTATAGGACAATAAATACTGTAGTATATATTATATATCCATGAAATATGAAGGCAAAATTGGCTGTGTAATATATGCAGTTTACCAATTTTTTTTTATCACAGGTCTAAAAGCATTACCTCATTGTTATTTATATAAAAGTCTCCAACAATATACGTAACGTAATGTAATAGAATGTTTTATGTTTTGTGATGAGAGGAACAATTAGATGCTTTCACAAGGAGGAACTTTTTAAACCTGCAACTTAAGAACAAGAAGTCCATAGATTCAAGCTAAGGAAACAAAAGATGATGAAACACACACATCTCTGTTACTGTCTTCATTATAGGTAGTACATCACACACACACACACACACACACACACATATATACCCCCCCCCCCACACACACACACACACCCATTACTATACCAATTACAGCTTGTACTGTACCTCACACACATACATCTATGTTACTATACCCATTACAACAAGTGCATGGCATATACACACATTTCAATCTTTTATGTATCTATACATTGTATTAATACATTTCTCTTTACGAAGATGCTTACCTCAGCTAAACTATTCTATACGGCTCTGACCAAAATTTCTGATGTTGTCTCCACATTTAATTGTGTAAGCATTTACAGTAGTACAAAATAAAACATTTGTATGCAAGATGCTACCACCAACAGCATTGCTATTTTCAAGTTCAGTTTGCCTTTTTGCCTGTTTTTTTTTATGTTATCCTAATAATAGGTCTGTATTTAAATTTATTTTATTTAAAAAATATACAGAAGAACATGATACAGTGGTTAAATCAGAAGTTACATATATGCACATTTAATAAAGCCACTTGTATGTAAAGAGAGCAGGTATGCAAAATACTTGTGTAGTGTTTTACTTCTAATGATATGTGACATAACATGTGCCTTGTAGGTTAAGATCTAGAGATGGCAGGCTGTGAAGGAGTAAATAATGTACCAACTTTGTAATAATGCTCAAGTACAGTACTGCACATTGCTCAGAGTGAGTGCACAGGCAGCTCAAAACGTTAGCATAAATTAAAATGTTGTTTTGGTTTTAATCCTTAAACTGCTAAATTAAAGCATACTTTAAACTAATCAATTATATAAGAAATTATCTTTGCATATGTACTTTTGTATGTTCATAAAAACTACAGGCATCTGTTTTTGGTTAAAAAAAATTTCCTAAGCATAACTAAACTTGACTAATTTCCACTACCTCACTGATTTTAAATGTAGTTAACAAAGTATGTCATCTACCATAAAATGCTTATAAACATTACTAGCAGCTTAAGGGTTAAGCTCAGTAGATTTTTACTAACACATTTTGTGGCAACTTGTTCTATATACTGGTAAACAAAATACTGTATTATTATTTTGTACTAACATTGTTTTCCAAGTCAAAACAATAAAATTTGTATCTTCACTTATATTTCCTAGGCACAAGAAATTTTATATATAAATGTAGCATGGCTTGAAATATAATATTACCTACATTCTAATAAAACTAGATAATTACAAATATACTACAACTGGTTGTTTAGGTTCAGTATAACTAGAGGGGACCTTTAACAAGCTGCTGGCTTCTTGTCCCCATTGAGACTACTAGACATGGTGGCCCTCAGGTAAATTCAGGTAAATGTATCATATATATTGTGTTGTTTTTCTTATCTTTATAAAAGTATTTTCTTGTCATACTTTTCAAGCCTTTCTAACCAAATGACCCTGAACCCGTAAACATGGAAAGTGGAACAATGATGATGATGAATGATGCTGCTGCTAATGAGACTTTCATACACCGACTCCTAACAGAGTAGTTAATACACAGAGTAATCACACTAATGTGACTGCATCAATGAGAAAATCTGTAGGAGCCGTGATGAAGGTTTGAACCTATGTGGTGGGTGTTCCCAGGCACACGCTCCAGCAACTAGACAACGACATGGTATAAGAATTGCAACCTGGAGTTCTACTGAACACACAAGAATTTCCTGAGGCTTCTACTGAAGCCAGAATAGGATATTGTATGAAAATCCTGTTTTGGCCTCAGAAGAAGCATCAGGAAACCCTTGCGTGTTCAGTAGAACTCCAGGTTGCAATCCTTATACATGTCAGGTAGTTGCTAGGGTGTGTTTGTGTTGGAATATCCACCACATAGGTTTGAGCCCTCATCACGGCTACTAAAGATTTTCACAGTAGTTAATGACGTTGACAAAATTGATTAGTTCTAGGTTTAATACAAGGTTAGGACAAGACATTTGTGCACATTTTCTTACACTGTAAAGCACGAGCTTCTTTCTACTCATCCTTACTTAATAACTGAAGGGAAGGGCAAATATAATGATTGCTAGGGACAGTAAGCCTCCTCAAAGCACAGTAAGACTCATTGTTATACCTGGTGGTTCCAGGCCATGCCTTATACAGGGGTTGTATTCCCTACAACAAGCTAGAGAAATCACTATTGGGACAAGGTGTTTTGTCAAATGATAGCTTCTGAGTTCATACAGGGATTTATTTCTATAGTCAAACTTAAAGGTACATAATACTGTACAGGGAGTGTAACTGTAATTTGTGCACCCTATTGACAAGACTTTCAGAGATATTACTATCTTCCAAATCTTTGGCTTGCCTAACAATCAAATATATATCTCCAAGCTCCAATCAGTCATCACATAAATTGGTACACTTGCAAGTGTACTCTTTGGATTCTATTACACCGTTATATTTCCTATGCCCTGGGACTTGAGCACTGTGGCTATCAAAATTTTAACAATCCACATGGGCCAGGCCAACCTACAAGATTGCAACGGTTACACAACAGGATGAAAAATCACACAAAAAATCCTGCCAGTTATCACTGGGACATGTAAATGAACACTTTTAATCCTAATCCTTTTGTATAAAACAGCACCATAGGTAACATAAAAGTTCTTGCACTAGTTACCACATGGACGATCATCCAACCTCACCTAACAAGTGGGGGATGAGCCTCCAAATGCCACCGCCACTTGGAGAGAAGTGAATGCGTATATTCCTTGTTTACACTCACCAATCATCCTGGGTTCCAATGTTTTCTTATTCCCCCAGCTATTTCTTTTTCATTTAATTCTGTTTACAACTGGTTTTCAACATGCTTTCCCAGCCACAGAAAGTACTTAGCATAGTTTCTTTTAACAATACTGTATTTAGTATTGGTTTACATCTCTTTAGAGAATACTGTTCTCTTATTGTGATTATAAACTAACTCTGCACATGTGTTGTTCGGCTGCACTGATGGGAGATTTGAAAGATACCTTTCCTGCAAGGTCCCCTTCCTAACAACAACTGATGCCTCAGTTCACCTGGCAGTAAATAGGTACCCGGATGTTAATACTGTTGTCAGCCGCATCATGGAGATGATTAGTCATTGGCTATCGGTACTTTATGCCCAATACCTTAGTTCAACTAAGAGTAAATAGGTAATCAAAAGGTAGTCAACTGTTTTGCATTGCATACTGAGGATGGCCAGTCGTTAGCTAAGAAATCCTCGATAAGTAAGCACCGGTAAGAAAGTAATTGTCAAAAGAAGGTACCAAGCCGGGAAGTCTATGTAATACCATCAAAAGTGCGGGATAGTCAAAAGACACTAAATATCATTAAGGATGTCAATACGAGAACAAAAGCGCATAAGGCAAACAACATCAAAAGCATCCAATTCACCAAGGATACTATCGTGGGATAGGTGACCACGAGGGACAGTCGGGAAGCAAGATGCACGCTCATCCTGGAAGTCAGGACATTCAATAAGGATATGCTTAACCGTAAGAGGGACAATGCAATTCGGACAATGAGGAGCAGGGCGGTGCTCCATTAAGTGCCCATGAGGTAAGTGGGTATGGCCAATACGTAACCTCGCCAGAGCCGTTTCCCAGCGCTAGTTATGGTGATAGGAGGAAGGCCATGGGAGCACTACCTTTAAGAGCATGCAGCTTGCTACCAGTAACAGAAGATCAACAACCCTGCCAATGGGCAAGGATTGAGGAATGAATAACTGGGTTGAAGTTAGAATAAGGAATACCTTTACGGGAGATGGGACAGGTGTGGATAGCTTCCTTAGCAGCAGCATCCGCACGCTCATTTAAGGAAACATCAATATGGCTGGGAACCCAGCAAAACTCGACTGTTTTAAATCTGCTGGAGATAAGAAACAGTCACTATTGAATTTTGACGACCACAGGGTGGACAGGACTAAAAGACTCCATAGCCATGAGGGCACTGTGAGAGTCAGCTACTACAACAAAGGAAGAATTACAGCCAGAATGGAGTTGACTAAGAGCAAACAAAATTGCATAAAGTTCAGCCATGAAGATGCTAGTCTCTGGAGGCAGGCAACACATATAGATGTAGTCAGGAAACAAAAGTGTAGCCTATATCATCAGCAGACTAGACCCATATGTGAAGATGGAAATGGAGCCAGAGTGTGAAGAAAAGTGAGCAAGGAAAAGGCATTTCAGAACTATAGGAGGGGTAAAAGCCTCAAGTCAAGCAGGTCAAGGTTCTACAAAACTTAGGAATAGGGACCCTCCATGGCAGTAAGGATGGAATAACATGAGGAGAAACATTGGGAACACGAACCAAGAGAGAACCTTGCAAGCGAGACAACCGAACAGAAAGGGGAAGGTGGTTAAAGGGAACGGGGCCCACAGGAGGGGTAACGGTCAAAGTACGACATAAGCGAGAGTGAGGGTGCTGAAGGGACCGCGCAATGTAGCGAAGACAGTAACAATCACGGCAATCCTGTAGACAGGATGCCTGTCTCAACATATAAGCTCTGGATAGGGGTTGAACAAAAGGCATCAGAGCTAAGACAGAGCATGGTGAAGAGCATCAAGACGACAAAGGGAGGGAGAGGCAGATGAGTAAGAAAGACAGCCATAATCGAGTTTAGAGAGCACGAGAGAGGAATGTAAAGAGAGGAGTGTGTGCCTATCAGCACCCCAGGAAGTATGGGACAAGGCCTTAAGTAAGTTATGGGTCTTACAGCATTCAACTCAGAAGTAAGAGATATGGGGTGACCAGGACAAGCGAGTGTCAAAGATTAACCCCAGAAGTTTAGCAGAATCCTTATACAAAAGAGTATTACCATAAAGCGAGAGAGGAGGTCGAAGGGCGACCCACTTCCAAGTAAAGGTCATGGCACAAGTCTTAGCTGGAGAGAACTTGAAGCCATGATTGGTGGTCCAGGATGACACAGCATGAATTGCAAGTTGAAGCCGCCGTTGGAGGAAAGGCGAGTCATCACCATGACAGCAAAGGGCAAGATTATCAACATAAAGAGCAGAAAAAATGTCAGAGGGAAGGAAAGAAAGAAGACCATTGAGGGCAACCAGGAAAAAAGAGTAGTGCTCAGAACACTCTTGAGGTTATCTTGAGATGTTTTCGAGGCTTAGTGTCCCCGCGGCCCAGTCCTCGACCAGGTCTCCACCCCCAGGAAGCAGCCCGTGACAGCTGACTAACTCCTAGGTACCTATTTACTGCTAGGTAACAGGGGCATCAGGGTGAAAGAAACTTTGCTCGTTGTTTTTCACCGGTGCCCGGGATCGAACCCGGGACCACAGGATCACACATCCAGTGTTCTGTCTGCTCAGCCACCGGCTCTGCTGCACTACCTTGGGGCACACCTTTGTATTGCTGAAAAGAGGTAAAGAGAGCAGTACCAAGCTTCACTCGAAAGGAACAATGAGAGAGGAAGCGAGGGAGATTACCACAAAGGCCAAAAGAACAGAGTTGGGATAGAATATGGTACCGCCAAGTGGTGTCATACACCTTTTCCAGGTCATAAAGGAGAGAAACAATGGAGGTCTTTGCAGCAAAGGCAGTACGAATATAGACCTCCAAGTTCACGTAGATATCAGACGTGCTGCAACACTTGCACAAGCCAGATTGAGAAGGGGAGAGAAGGTGATAACGTTCTAAGAACCACATCAGAGGGACATTGATCTTACAGATGACCCTACCGGCCACTGCACTTGCCTTTAAAAACAAAACAAATGAAACTGGCGTCGTACAATGACGACGTTTCTTCTAGACTGCACACTTACAGCAGACAACCTGAGCACAGTCTGCGTTCCACCAGGGAATGCACTTCCACGCACCCCCTGGAGGTAGAGCGAGGAACAGAGCAGAGGGCAGCATAAACAACAGTGTTATGAAAGAGGAGGGCGGGCTTGGGGAAGAGTCAGATCAGAGAGGCCAGGAAAGAGTATCACGCAAGGTGAAGAGGTTCCAGTCAGCCCTGGCAAACTGTCACCTAGGGAAGGAGAGGGGAGGGCAAAAAGAAAAGAAGGTGACAATGATGGGGAAATGGCCACTGTTATGTAGGACATCAAGAACCCACTAGTGAAGTCCAAATAAAGAGAAGACGAGCAGAGAGAAAGATCAAGACTGGAAAGGGTGCGAGTGTGGGAGTCAACATGAGTGGGCTCACCAGAATTCAGAAGAGACAGTAGAAGAGAGGACAAATGGTTTAAGAAGGCGGCCCCGGGTGTTCATCAGAACATCCCCCAGAAGGTATGCCAACAGTTAAAATTACCCAAAAGAAGCACAGGCTCTGGTAAGATGTCCAACTGGTGTTTAAGATCAGAAAGAGAAAGCAGGACATTTGGGAGAAGATAAATGGAACAGACTGTAAACAATTTACTCACAAAGATGGCCGCAGAACACCAATGGGCGACTGAAAAATTAGGGGACAAAGGAAATATCATGACGGATCAAGAAAGCAGTAGAGTTATGGTCCCCAACAAACACTGGAGGGAGAGAGAAAGGAATAATTATGGAAATGACCAGGACGAGTGCCGAGCATCAGCTCCTATAGACAAACACAAAGCAGGGGAAAACTGCGTGATCAGAAGTTAGAGTTCATGAAAGTTGGCATAAAACCACAAAATTCCATTGAAGAACAGACATAGACAAAAAAAAGAGAGAACATGGGAGAAACCAAGGCAAAGTAAAACACAGTTGACTGAGGAAGAACATGATCAGGATCAGTGAAATCAGGGTGACGGGGCAGTGATAAAGCTAGCAAAGATAGCCGAGATAAGGGAGCGGGAAGATGGATCAGAGGCAGAATCCGGAACGGGAGGAGGCAACAGAGAGGGGCGGAGAAGGGATTCTGAGGCAGGAAGGACAGAAATGGGTGAAGGCACCGGAGTAAGGGCAGCATCCAAGAGAAGATCAAGGAAACCTACATATGTTGAGACCCCTCCACTGAAAAGGAAGAGGAAACAGGGATAGTGTCGGAGTTGGAAGGGGAGGAATACATCGAAACCTTCTTACCCACCAGGGAGGAAGAAGGAGAGGAGCCAGGCTTATGCTTTTGATGGAGAGACACAGGCATACCTTCAGCAATATACTGGGCAACCACCTCGACAGTTTCAACAGAAGGAGAACGGGAACGGGCAACATGACGAACGCTGGGAGGAGGATGGACAATGGCCTGAACAGACAGGTGGCGAGGAGGACTGAGAAGGAGGAGTGGGGCAAGAAGGGAAGGAGGGCACAGGAGACAAGGAAGACCGGGAAGGAAACACCAGTCAGAGAACCAGGAGGAGGACCCTCTGGCCCAGAACGCAAGAGAACAGATGGAGCAGACGTTGTGATAGTGGAGGTGTCGGGGTCCAAGGCCTCAAAACGGTTGTCAAACTGAGAAAGCTAGAGAGGACAAGAAGAAGGGGAACGCAACACACGAGCCTAAGACATGCCAGAGAAAGAGGAAGGACGGCGAACCTGGCGCCTAGCCTTGGGAAAAGACAAATGATCACGCTACTTCAAATTGAGGATAGCTTCCTTAAATTTGTAATGCACACATGCACGGGAGAAGGCAGGGTGGGCGTCACTGCAATTGATGCAGAGAGTTTGGAAAGAAGTGCACTCCATCTTGGAATGAGCAGAGGTTCCACACATGGGGCAGAGAGAGACCTCACTTGTGCACCTGGAGTGACCATGCCGAAATCTCCAGCACCTGCTGCAGAGGTGAGGAGAGCGGATGTACTCCTGAATGGAGCATATGGCACTGGCAAGAATGACTGAAGAGGGAAGGGACCGACCATCAAATGTGACCTTCACAACACGAAGAGGCTGAAGGTGATGACCACGAGGAAGTCGAGTGAAGGTATCCACCTAGAGGACATAATGGCCTTGGGCCTCAAGGATATACTTAACATCCTTGTGGCAGTCTTTAAGTTTTCTGTCACCAGTCGCAACATGGAGAAGACTTGTGCCAATGCAGGCATTCAATCGGGCATTTTTGGAAATCTGAACAAGAGTCTTCCCAATGCAGGACAACGAAGCTAAGCGGTCAGCCGCCTCCTGAGAAGGGGCTGCAACAACACGTGTACCAGAACGGGTGGGGTTAAAAGTGACAAATGTATCCACCGAATCAACAAAGTGTTTATGGAAGAATAAAATCATCAGGATGAGTAGGGTCAACATGATTAAGATCAAAATACTTAGTCCACGTAGCAAGACCAAACAAAGCCCGGAAAGTATTAGACTGGGAAGGAATCATATACATGTGAGTGCGGAGGTGACAGTGCCGAGCACCCCTGGTAAGAGAGGGGGGGGTAAAAGGCACAGTTGTGACAACAAGAGACGGAGCCACGCCAGGTGATGAGATGGTCAGCACTCAGGGCTTGGGGCTCAACCCTGCCACAGAGGTGGGAGAGGAGCAGAGTGTGTCAGTCGGGAGAGTCGGAGAACAATATTCAAGCATCATCATCACTAGGCAGGAGACACTGGTAAACTTAAGCACGCCTCGCCCATGCCACCAGGAACCACATGTTTGGTCGACCCATACGTGTATCAACAAACTCACCAAGTGAGGCAAAGCTCATATACCAAGTAAAATTTTACGGAGAAATTGAGCTTGTAAACCGAAAAATTAATAAAGAGGGGCATTCATCAATTGAGGTTCCACTGTACATAAGACTATAATAAATTTTTGTACGTAGTATTCTTTATTATGACGATTAATAATTTATTTTTGATACATTTGCTTCATATTATTTGAGTTAGCATGTAGTGAACCGAGACTAATACAGCTGAAATGTAGTACAGTACTGTACTACAATTCAAGAGTATAATTCACCACCACTCAGCTCGATAATTATACTCAATCAAGTCTACCACAGACAAGCTATTAAGGACCACTCACCAAGATATTGACTCTTTAACTCATCTATAAAGCAGCTAAAGACTAAAAGCATTGTAAAGACTGTATGTATGTGAAAACTCCCCAAGGAGATATTTGCTAGACACCTCTTTTTGAATTAGTTTACCGACTTTCTGGATGATTTCTCAGTGTTTAAGCGGAGTGTAACCTGCTCTCTGCACCTCTGAGGGGAAGCCAGGTTTTTGCCTCTGGTCCTCGATAGACTAAACAGAACTCTGCAACTGATGCAACCCTGTAGTTGGGAGCCCCTCAGCGTGACTACTTCATGGAGTCACAAGGGGCTCCCCCAGAAAATAAGTGAAGTCATAGACAGCAGAAAATCAGAAAACTTTAAGGGTTCATTACTAATCATTCTATTTGAGTAAGTCCATTGCATGTGTGCTGATTTTAATTTAAAAACTTAAAATATATTTGCAAAGATTAAGTCACAACAACATGATAAACTAATAACCAAATCCACATACAGTACATGAAAAGAAATGAAAGTGACTGTGTTGGTCATTTTGAACCCTTATTAACTTATGACATATTAAAGATCCAGGATAGACCAAATTAATGTCTATTTCACTTCATTTCATATGTGGATATGGTTAGTAAATACATTATTTATTATTTTAATTATGAAATCATCTTCCTAGTTCACCAACTAGTCCCTTTAAGTAAATACAAGATTTCTAAATTATTTTAAAGTATGTTATACAGTTCTTAGCAATACTAGTGACACTCTGATATGAACTCTTGGTTACACTCTACATATGACCGCAGACCGCCGACATCATAGCGTCTCTCAACGTGATAGGCATAGACTGGGGCTTGATGGATGAGCTTGGCAATGAATAATCCTGTTGCATCACGCACATTCAGAGGTTTCTCTCTTGTTTCTTCCAAAAAATTCTGCAAAAATTGTTTAGTACTTGGCATGAGGCTACTTGCCACTATTTATCTATATACAATATCCTGTACTGCACAGTATGGTCAAAACGTTTTCATCCAGATTTCATAATCTCCATGGCAATGTGTATTGTTATGGAGATTATGTCATGGGGACATAACACATCTTATCCACATGATATAATAATAATAATTCATTGTGTCGGGGGACAGGCAGCCAGAGTGTATTCATACACGTTAGTCTTATATCGAGGTCTCCTCCCCCCCCCCCCCCAAGGTTGAATTACTGACCCCACCCAGGATGCAACCCCACAACAAGCTCACTAACTCCTGAGTACCTGCTTACTGCTAGGTGAACAGGGCGCATTAGGCGAGAGGAAATGTGCCCAATCATTTCTGTCCCACCCGGAATTCTAACTTGGAAATCTTGATTGTGCGTCAAAAACAAACCCGACTGTACATGTAAAACGCAACATTTTAACTCTTATTTTCATTAGGTTAGGTTAGAGGTTCTTTAAAACGATGAAGCAAAAAAGATTACATACTTTTCTCAGGTCACACCCTCCTCATACTATATCCAATATCCTATAACTCCTTTAAGATAAATTTGTGGCAAAAAGCCTCTTTACATTTATTCTTACTGTTATGTTTCTTACATAACTGAATCATACAGCTATTCCAGAATGATCTTAAATGAATGTTGACAAAGTAGCAAACAGCTTATGTAGAAACTACAATAGTCTTTACTGATATTTTTTTATGGTTTTTCAATGTTATGGACTGGAAGCATGTTAGGCTTATCGATTTCCCTCTGGTCGAATTACTGGCTTTTGCTAAGGTACAACCCACAACAGTTGCTCAACTCCCAGATACAAATTTACCACTAGGTGAACAAAGACATATTGAAAGAAAACGTGTCCAACCATCTCTGTCCTGTCTTGGGAATCGAACCCGGGACTTTTCAGTTTGAATCGACTGCGCTGACACTCAAGTATGGCAGTATAGCTTATGAAGTAAAATAAAAGAACAATTACACAATGTAGCAATTTTTTTTCTTGGGTAGCAGGTGTTATTTTCTTGTTGCTTATGCCTAAAAATGGTATAGGAAATAGTATTATTTTCTATAATAATACTATTATTCCCCTCAAACTTTGCTTTGACCTTTGCCCCAGACAGCTGCAAGACAATTTCCCTAAGCTGTCTAAGGTAAAGGTTAAAGCAGAGTTTAAGGGAAATAATAGCCATTTTCTATTCTTTGGAAGCATAAGCAATCAAATCATAACAAGCCAGATAAAACAAAACTGTTACACAAATATTTGACATAAAGAGATATTTGACATCCAGTACCTTCCTCCCTTGGGAAAGAGTGATCATGTCCTGTTGGAAATTAAATATGCTTTACAATATAGTCTAGAAGAGAATGGGGACATTGAAACAGTTGATAAACTCTATCAAGAGAGGACACTGTGGGTACTTTAGAAAATTCTTCAATGGGTTTAATGGGACAGACTTGTTGCTAGGCAAGAAAGTAAATGAGATGTATGTCAAATTTTGCAAAATATACAATGAAGGCACACAAACATTCATACCAAGGCAGAGATGCAGGACCAGAAAACTAGATTGGTTCAACAGAAATTATGAGAGGGCCAGAGAGGAAAAAGACAAGAAAATAGGTTCAGTATTTGGAAGAGGCCTAACCCACAAACATAACAGAATTACAAACAAGCAAGAAACAATTACACAGCAGTGAGAAGGGAGGCAGAAAGGAACTTTGAGAAAGGTATAATGGACAAATGTAAAACAGATGCAGGCATTTTCTATAAATTCATTAAAACGAAGCTGCATGTAAAAGATAAAATCCAGATTGAGAAGGGGAAACAGGACTACTGAGAATTAAATAGAAATGTGTAAAATGCTGAATGAACAGTTTCAAAGTGCGTGTGTACAAAATGGGGATTTCAGAAAGCTGGACCAAGTACTAATTCCAGAACACAAATACATAGAGGTATATCAAGACAGAGTGGAAAAATTACTCATGAGGCTAGGAAGAAATAAAGGGTTTGGACTTGATGGAGTTTCACCTTGGGTGCTACAAGAATGTGCAACTGAGCTGAGCATTCCACTCAAATTAATATTCAAGACATCCTTGTGCACAGGAATCTAATCAGATACAGATATATGGAAAAAGGCAAACATAGTACCGATTTATAAAAATGATAATCGAGAGAAACTTCTAAATTATAAACCACTGAACTACACAACGCTCCTGCAGGCGCTCGACGGGGCATGTGCAACTCGCCTCCGGGTATTTTTATTTTTCACATTCCATTCAAAACTGGCGCGCGGTGACGCGGGTACAAAATGTATGCCTGGTGACCCCAAGGATCGTCTGCCATCTTTAAAAAAATCCCAGCATGCCCTTCGGCCATGGGGAGCCTCAGTTTCAAAGCAGCAACCATGTCTGACGCATCGTCCACGAGCTCCCGCTCCATGGTTACCCACGGTCATGGAAAACGACTCTCTAAGGAGATACGCAACATTTTGTATGATGACAGTCCTATGGATGATGACATGGACTATGATCCAGAGAAAGACCTTACATAAAATATAATACGTAATATAAAATACTATAAAAGGATACGTAAAAGGGAAAGATCGACCTTTGAGGATCACCCTGAATGGTGCCAAACAGATGGAAGAAGTACTAAGGAATGCTAGAAAATTACAAAGTGATCAGGTAGGGAAAGTATGGTCGTTAAGACGAGATCTTTCAAACGAAGACAGAGAAGCTGAAACTGAACCTCGTAGAGGCAAAACGATTAAATGAGAGCAGGAATGAAGAATAAATCAAATCTTTTTTCTACAAAGTGATAGGGGCAGGCAAACCAGTAGTGGTACATAAAGGCAAACCAACAAAATCATTAGAGAGAGGGGGAGTGAAGAATAGGGAGAGGGGGGGGGGAACAAGTTCCTGAAAATTGCATACACCAACATAGATGGAGTGAGATCAAAGATACTGGAGTTAAGTGATGTAATACAGCTGCAGACACCATACATTGTTGCACTCACGAAGACAAAACTTGAAGATGATATTTTAAATGAGATCACATTCCCAAGAGGCTACTCGGTTTGGAGACGGGACAGAAACATTAGGAAAGGTGGTGGTGTTGCTGTGCTAGTGAAAGAACACCTAAAGGTAAACAAAATAATGATTGCCAATCCACGAGAAGTTGACATAATAGTACTAGAGATTTGCAATCAGGATGATAAATTAACGATCTTAAATACATATAGTCCACTGCCAAGCAACACATGGACAAATGGGACGCTAGATAATAAATGAGAGGGTTTTATAACAATACAGCAATGAGAGAAATTATAGCAAGAGCCGATAGAGATAGATCACGATTGTTGGTAGTTGGCGACTTCAACTTGAAATCCATAGACTGGGAGGCATATGAAGCTAGAATGGAGGATTTTTGGACTTGTAGATTCGTAAACCTCATCCTGGAAACATTCATGTTTCAACATGTTAAACAAGCTACGAGGATGAGGGAAGGGGACATTCCCTCCATGCTGGATTTGATATTTACCAGTAAAGAGGAAGAGATATTTGACATTCAGTACCTCCCTCCCTTAGGTAAAAGTGACCATGTCTTAATGGGAATAAAGTATACTATGCATTATAATTTGGAAGAAAATGAGGTTGAAGCAGTTAAAAAGCCTGATTTCAAGAGAGGTCATTATGGGGAACTCAGACATTTCTTTAAGGAATTTGACTGGAAAGACTTGCTGTTGGGACATGAAGTAAATGAGATGTATGTCAAGTTTTGTGAAATATATGATAAAGGCACAAAAAAATTTATACCTTGTTTATACCTTTATACCAAAGCAGAGATGCAGAACAAGGAAACAGGATTGGTTCGACAGAAATTGCGAGAGGGCCAGAGACCAAAAGACAAAAAACCGGCGTTGAATGTAATGAAGCGCCATTTTCTGGGTGAGTCCCGGAGGCTCCCCGGAGCTTACCAGGCTGATATGCTAATGTCAGACTTTGGCATCAGTCATGTGTACGGAGTTCTTATAGGCCTACCGGGGACCACGAGCCAGAACCTGGCCCCCTCTAGAGAGGCAAGGGGAGCAATAGCCTATAGAAACCCCCGTGTGGTTGGAAGCATTCTATGTCTGCCATCGACCGGGTTAGGTACCCAGAAAGGTAGGCGTCCCAAAACAACCCCTATTCTGGTGAAAATTGCAACCAAAAACCGAACGAGTGGATAGAACTCCCCAAATAAAAACGGGCAAACTAGTATGATGTCACCTGTCATCGCGCCGCTGTCAGCGCAGCTCCCCCCTCCCCGGGAGAGGGAAGGGGTAGCCCCAGACCTACCATGCCGGCGATCCACACCCCAGTTCTGAGGCTGGATGTTAAAACACGCAAAAAAACGCCGACCGGAGGGAGGGAGGGAATCCGGGGAGGCTCTGGGACTCACCCAGAAAATGGCGTTTCATTACATTCAACGCTGGTTTTCTGGGGGGAGCCTCTATGGCTCCCCGGAGCTAATTACCCACAGAGGAAAAGAATAGGGACAGACGCGGGAGGCGGTCGCCGCACACTACTCAACCCGAAGTCGAGACAACAGGTCGCATCCGCCGACCCAAAGCGACACAGGCCCGACTGTGCCCATGAACATGTACAAGGTAACGAGCAGCCAAGGACCCTACTCGACCATCAAATTCCCAGTGCCCGAGTGTCCTCCCAGGACACATTACCAAAGACTGCGGCTAGAGCCGCAAACTTGCGGATGTCATGGGCACAGAGATAGACCGAAGGCTGGCAAACCTTAAGAACCCCACGGACGACCTGGGAGACCCGCACCCTGGAACAGGGAAGAAGGGAACCGGAGCAACCCAAAGCGCGTCCACGGACCCAGAAGCCGTGGCAAGCCAATAACGGCGGAGAGCCGCAACCGGACAAAAACAAAATGCACCCCTGGCCCAACCAACCAATCACCAACAACCCAGGGACCCCTCCGGAAAGCAGCAGCCTCATTCTTCGCCAGAAAAGAAGGCAACAGACGACCAAACCGAGCACCCCGACCGAAGGAGCAGAAAACCCGAGCAGGAGGAGAGCATGAAGCTCACCTACCCGACCCCCAGAGGCCAATGCCAACTGGAAAAGAGCCATCAAAAAACAAAACCGGAACGGAAGGCGGCCAGGGTATCATGCACCTGTAGCCGAGAAAACCGGGAGCACCGCCCGCCGAAGGCAGGCCAGAGCCGCTCATGCCGGAGAAGAGGAGGGGAATGGCGAAGGAGGTGCCCCCCACCCAAAAAGTAGGGAAAAACCCGGTGACCTCCCCATAGCAGCACTCCAGACACCCCCAAGAGCAACGGGGCACGGACTGGAGAATGATAAGGGCGAGAGGCGAAGCCCCCCCCCGAGAGAAAACGGACCCAGAACACCAGCACGTGTGCACACCGCCCTAAACCAAAACAAACTCCCACGGCGCATGCGCAGGACATGAAAGAAAAGTAGCCCAACAGGTTGGGCTACACAGCCAACTACTCCGGCCAACAACAGAGCAGAAAAGTAGCCCAACAGGTCGCATCCCGAGCGATCCATTGAAGAAACAGGCCAACTCATGGAAACAAAAGCCAAAAAAAAGGAAGCAACAACCAACCTAGCCGGCTCATGTAAGAAAAACAATGAACCGAATCAGAACCCAAGCGGGCTACCAGTAGCCCAACAAGGAGACAAAGAGCCCAACGGGCTAAAAGTAGCCCAATCCGGACTCCCGGACCAGAACGGAAGGAAAATGAGCATTGCCGAGACACAAAACAGAGAGAAGAGATAAGAACAAAAGAACGAGAAGGCCAAAAACCCAAAAGATGCCCAGAATAGAACCCACAAACCCTAGAAAAGACCAGATGGAAGCCCCACTGAACAACGACAGACGTACCAGTAAAACGGAAAGGAGCAAAACCATCCCGAACCTTCAAGAACCCATAGAAGCAAACACAAAGGACGAAGGCACAGAAAAACCCAGTTGCACCCAAGACCAAAAGTCATGCAGAACCCCAAGAAGAGGGGGACATGACGGAAGCAACAGGCATAATGGACAAGGAACCGAGCCCAGGGAGGGGCCGACGCCCAAATACTCTTGTGGAGAGGGGGGAAGGAAAAGCCCCACTACACAAAACCGCAGGCCCCGCCCAGAGGGGTAGAAAAACGCCGGCGGGGTCCAACGGGGCCTGAGGTCCCCCACGCCAGCCCCACCCCAGCCCCGGGAACCCACCCGGCAGGCCCCGGGGCCGAGCCGTCCCCACAAAGCCCCAGCCTCAAGAAAAACCGGGGCAGCCGTGAAAAGCACTAAGGAAGGAAGCCCACTGGCAGACTCTTACAACACGGCTGGAGAAAACAGGCTCGAATGCCCCCGTTGCTACCCCGGAAGGGGAAGTCCCCGAGACCAACCGAGTCTCAAAACCATGGAAGCCCTGCCCCGACCCGGAACCCACAGACGGTAAAGACCTGGATGTAGGGAGGAAGGGGGGGGGGAACCCAACAAGACCACCAACCAAAACGGGGCAGCCTCGGGGCTTCCGGGGAGCAAACAACTAGCGCGTTGTCACCTAAACCCAAATGTGCAACGCCTGTGCAGCCTGCACCCACATAGTCAGCATAAGACTGGGTAACTGAGTCACAAATAAGCAACAAAACTTGCAGGACCCTGGGCCGAAGGTGTCACCGACCCCACAGGCTGCAGACGGAGGCAAAACAGTGAGAGTCACCCTGAGACAAGGGGACAGAGCAACCCTCGAACTTGCACAAAGCGAGGTGGGGGGACTCCGGGGCCAAATCCATCAGGCCCACGCTCCCCCCTAGGGGTTTCCCAGGGTCCTGAGCGTTTACTATAAGAACACTCGAGCTCAGGTAATCCCAGGTAGGGTACTGCTAACCGGCGCCCATGGCTACCAAACAACGTTCTAAGAGCTGAACCCCCGGGACGTGTACACTCACGGGGACCTAGCAGGGGAAACCACAGGAAGAAGGAAGAGAACTCGGCACAAAGGGGGAAAAAAACCAAAGGGAGAGCCCACCACCAGGTAGACAAACAAAAAGAAAAAGAAAACCCCGCAATAGTACAGCGTACCCAGGCGGAACAGAGCCGGCCGCTATGACTGCCCCTTACCCTAAGGCAAACAAGGGAGACAGAACCCCCTATCACACAAAGGGTGGCCGAAAACCGAGCAGCAAACAGCCTAGCAGAAGCAGGACCCAAGGAACTTGTGGAAGGTAACCCCAAGCCCCAAGGGCAGTACTTACAGGGCACCAAGGGAAGGTAACCCTAGGCGCATGCAGCCCGAGTACTGGAGACTCACGGTTCACGCACCACCTAGAAGACAGACACCACACTCTAGGTACAGTGCTGAAACAACCACTTGAGCCGGAGCACGCAACCAGTGCCAATAGCATCAGCCGAAGAACTGGGGTGTGGATCGCCAGCGTGGTAGGTCTGGGGCTACCCCTTCCCCCTCCCGGGGAGGGGGGAGCTGCGCAGACAGCGGCACGATGACGGGTGACGTCATACTAGTTTGCTCGTTTTTGTTTGGGGAATTCTATCCACTTGTTCGGTTTTTGGTGGCAATTTTCACCAGAATAGGGGTTTGTTTTGGGACGCCTACTTTTCTAGGTGCCTAAGCCGGTCGATAACAAACATAGAATGCTTCCAACAACACGGGGGTTTCTATAGGCCATTGCTCCCCTTGCCTCTCTAGAGGGGGCCCAGGTTCTGGCATGTGGTCCCTGGTAGGCCCATAAGAACTCGGTACACATGACTGATGCCAAAGTCTGACAATTAGCATATCAGCCTAGTAAGCTCCGGGGAGCCGTAGGGGTTCCCCCCAGAAAAAATACAAATAAAACCGCATTGGAAATACATAGAACAAATAATTGAAAATATATTTGTGGCAACTCGCGGTAATGAATGGCCCGGGCGACCACCTCTGGGAGCTTCACACACTGTCGACGAGCCCGTGATGCCCCCTTCTCCATGTCCCCACAGGCAAAGTAAGTGGATTTTTTATATTTTTTTATACATGTATATGTTCAGGGAAGGGAATTTATCATCTTACAAAGATCAAACAAAAATTTGTAAACACTTGACTTATGTGCACAGGAGAAATGTCACAATAAACTCGGTTCATCACAGAGGTCAACACTATGGTTGTCAAAAACATGTGTTAAACACTGTGATTGTCAGAAATGCATGTTTAATACTGTTAGAAACATGTGTTTAATGCTACATTTATTAGAAACACGTTTAGAGCCCACGCAGGAATATCCCTAAAAAAAAAAAAAAAAAAACACACGTTTAACATTTTGGTTGTTCGACGTGCATGTTTAACACCGCATTTTTTACTACATGTTGAACTACATCCCCAGCCTAGCTAGAAAAATACATGTGAATTCTTATAAAAGTATTAATGAATGCTAAAATGACCCAATGAGTTGCTGTCCTGGTAGGACCCTATGCGCCTCTAGGGCTGAGGCCTTACAGCATGTAAATGTAGCCCGGGATATTAAAAGGACCAAAGAGACCCCCCCCCCCCCCCCCCCCCCCCCCCCCGCAGTTCAGGCAAGTGTAAAAGTATTAAAATAATTGGAATAAATTAGGGACTCGAGTTATGGAGGCAAACTCTGTACAGAGATTGTGGAGTGGTGAAGGCATATTCCATACATGGATTGTGGAGTAGTGATGGCAGATTCCATAGTTGGGTTGCGGAATTATGAGGGCAAACTACATTCACATGTTCAAAAACAGATATGAGAATGACCATGGTAGTTGCTGAAAAGTCTAGGAAAGCTCCAAAAAGCCAAAGCACAGTCTCTACTAAGCACTACCAGTCGAGCATTACTAGGTGGGTACTGACCTGTTTTGCTTAATAAGCCAGCTGACATTTTCTCCATTACCCCTTCAAGAAAACATAAAAGTGTATATATCAGGGAAATAAAACTAGACATCACAAAAGTAATTAACATACCTTCAAATGACGAAGACTTTCTGATGAAATAATATAAAAACATGGGCACTGAAGCCTTGATGAAGTGATGGAAGACGGTGGCTTCTCAAGAAATCTTGTTACTCTTCCCGAGTCTTCCACCTCGAGAATACCATGCTGGAGAAACAAAGAGATTCTTCACATCTTAGTAAATATCTAAATGCGTTCTCCACACTTTCCATTAAAAAAAACAGCATTGAATGTAATGAAACACCATTTTCTGGGTGAGACCCGGAGGCACCCCGGAGCTATACCAGGCGGATGTGTATATATTAGACCATGGTAACAGTCAATCGATGGAGTTCTAGGCCTACCGGGTACCAGTGCTGTAACCTGGCCCCCTCAGAAAGGCACGAGGAGAAATGGCCTATACACCCCCCTGTGTAATTGGAAGCAGTCTATGTCTGCCATCTACCAGGTCAGGCACCCAGAAAGGTAGGAATTCCGAAACAAACTACAGCTGGTTAAAATTTGCAAACCAAAAGCCGAACTAGCAAGCAGAACTCCCAATTGAAAACAAGCATGACATCACCACAGCTCCTGCGCCGCTGTCTGCACAACTCCCCTCCCCCCCTCCCTGGGAGGGGAAAGGAGGACCCCCCAGACCCCCCTCGTGCTGGCTACTCAGCCTCTGTTCAGAGACTGAATATAAAAAAATATGATAAACTGCCGACCAGAGGGAGAGAGGGATGCCAGAGAGCCTCTGGGTCTCACCAAGAAAATGGAGTTTCATTACATTCAATACTGGTTTTCTGTGGAGAGCCCCTTCAGCCCCCACGGAGCTACCTAACCGAAGATAAAGGAAAAAGAGGGACTTACCCGGGAGGCGGCTGCCACTCTCTCCTCAACTTGAAGTTGAGACAACTGGCTGCAACCTGCGACCCATGGCTACATATGCCCAAGAAGAGCCGGGTACATTAACGAGGTACCGTGTGGCCAGGACCCTGTTCGAACTCTAAAAGCCCCATGCCCAAATGTCAGTTCAAGACATATTACTAAACACAGCAGCCAAAGTCGCAAACATACGAACGTCGTTTGCACGGGGATAGACCGCAGACTAGGTGGACCGAATAATCCTGTGGATGACCTGGGAGACCTGTGTCCTGGAACAGGAAAAAGGTAAACCAGGTCAACCCAAAGCAAAGGGGGGGTTGCGTAGACGGTGGCGCGGCGACGTGACGACGTCATGCTAGTTTGATAATTTTGTTTGGGGAGTTCTGTCCACTCGTTCGGCTTTCGGTAGCAATAATCTTACGAGAATAGGGGTTTGTTTTGGGGCGCCTACCTTTCTGGGTGCCTGTCCCGGTCGATGGCAGACATAGAATGCTCCCAATCACAAGGGGGTTTCTATAGGCCATTGCTCCTCGTGCCTCTCTGAGGGGGCCAGGTTCTGGCTCGTAGTCCCCGGTAGGCAAGAACTCCTAGCACTTTGACTGATGCCAGAAAGTTATACATATCCATTCAGCCTGGATAGCTCCAGGGAGCCGACGGGGCTCCCCCCAGAAAAGAAAGAAAAATCCCGCAAGAGGACAACGTACCCAGGAGAAACAGAGCCGGCCGCTATAATTGGTGAAAACTAGCTGTGCAGTACCCCCACACTCCTACCAGTAACAAAAACTACCCCCTACCCTGGGACACACAAAGGCAAGAATATCCCAGCAGACACCAAGGGCGGCCAAGTACCGAGCAATAAAAGGCACAGCGGAGGCAGATCCCAAGGGGACTTGTGGAAGGAGGCCCCAAGAGAAATACATACAGGACACCTAGGGAAGATAGCCCTAGGTGCATGCAGCCCGAGTACCGTGGAATATCACTCCTGGCTCACACCACACCTGGAGAAACAGCACACATCACTAGACACAAAACTGAGAAAAACATTCCGGAGCCAGAGGCACAAGACTTCCCCAGAATCGTATCAGCCAAGAACTGCAGGTTGGATCGCCGGCGTGAGGGTCTGGGGCTCCCCCCTTCCCCCTCCCGGGGAGGAGGGGTTGCGCAGACAGTGGCGCAGCAACATGATGACGTCATGCTTGTTTGCTAATTTTCGTTTGGGGAGTTCTGTCCACTCGTTCGGTTTTCGGTAGCAATAGTTTCACCAGAATAGGGATTTGTTTTGGGGTGCCTACCTTTCTGGGTGCCTGTCCTGGTCGATGACAGACATAGAATGCTCCCAACCACAGGGGGGTTTCTATAGGCAATTGCTCCTCGTGTTACTCTGAGGGGTCCAGGTTCTGGCTCGTGGTCCCCGTAAGGCAAGAAATTCAAGCACATTGACCGATGCCAGAAAGTTATTCATATCCATTCAGCCTGGATAGCTCCGGGGAGCCGACGGGGCTCCCCCCAGAAATACTAGCAGGTTTGTAATGCAGGAATTATTTTTGATAAAACCACGATGGGTGGCTTTTACAAGATTGTGTTGCGAGATGGTGAACAATTTGATCCCTTACAATATGTGAGGTTAAACACATTGGTTTGCAGATTTCTGCTCAACTTGTTCTGGCTATTTTAAAGATTTGTGTGAGATATGAATACTTCCAAGGGGTTATATGCCTTGTTATTCCACTTCCACAACAAATTAATAAAACTAATGCAACACACACAGAACTTCAGCAAAATACTAAATACTCATCAATATTCTATATTCCCACTTACCCACGATACTAACTTTTGATACATTTTCTTCTGAAACTGGAGCACTCAGTACCAAGCATGTTCCAGGTTCTTGTTGTCGTAGAACCTTAAATTTGTCTATTAGTGCACCAAGAGAAAAATTCTTCTTCAGCAATGTATCTCTGAAAAGCAAGAAATACTGCATATGTTATTAATATTTACCCAATATGGTATTTAAACTCAAATGATGGGATTCATCACATTTGTTTCCTGGTATGAAAGTAGCTCGACAAAATATTCAATACACTTACAACCTTTCTGCATCTCTATCATATCATCCACCTCACTTCCCACAAAATGGCACTAAAGTATGCCAAAACACTGCATCTCTAACCTCTCCTCCTCCATCCTACTTCCTTCAAAATGGCACTAAGTGCATGATTAAGGTAAAGTAATAATCAGGTAAAAATGCTAAGCCAGTAAAACTATGGAGGCTAAGGGTTAAATGCTAAGCACATGGAGGGGAATATAGGGACAAGGATCTGTTGCTTCGAAACCCTCCCAAAAATAGTGATCAAGTAATATATTATATATATATTTATGTCGTACCTAGTAGCCAGAACGTCGTACTCGGTCTACTATGCAAGGCCCGATTTGCCTAATAAGCCAAATTTTCCTGAATTAATATATTTTCTCAATTTTTTTTTCTAATGAAATGATAAAGATACCAATTTCATTATGTATGCGGTCAATTTTTTTCATTGGAGTTAAAATTAACGTAGATATATGACCGAACCTAACCAACCCTACCTAACCTAACCTAACCTATCTTAATAGGTTAGGTTAGGTTAGGTGGCTGAAAAAGTTAGGTTAGGTTAGGTTAGGTAGGTTAGGTAGTCGAAAAACAATTAATTCATGAAAACTTGGCTTATTAGGCAAATCGGGCCTTGCATAGTAGGCTGAGAAGTGCGTTCTGGCTACTAGGTACGACATTATATATATATATATATATATATATATATATATATATATATATATATATATATATATATATATATATATATATATATATATATATATATATATAATATATATATATATATATATATATATATATATATATATATATATATATATAAATATATATATATATAAATATATATATATATATATATATATATATATATATATATATATATATATATATATATATATATATATATATATGTATATAGGCCTACACTGTAATATGTACTCCAATATTACACATAAATGTAATCCTGGTACAGCACAAAAGAAGTATCTTACAGATGACCTTAAGATCTATGGTACAGAAAGAATAAAAAATTATATCGAAGTCTTACAAAGAGATCTAAATAAAACTCCACAGACAGTCAGAAGATTGGCAAAAGCTTTTCATTATTGAAAAATGCAAGACCTTGCATGTAGGGCATAACAATGCATATTATCACAACTAACATATCAACTACACTAGTATGCAGACTGATGAAGACAAAGATCTAGAAGTTTTGATCTGCCAGTAATTGAAAGTTGCACAGTAAGTAGGAACTGCAGCAATAATAATAATAAAAAATAGGAATAGTCAAACAAACTTTTGACTTCAAGGAATAGAAAGTGGTTATTCAATTGTATAAGTCTTTGGTGCACCCAATCTGTATTACTGTATCAAAGCTTGAAGACGCCGCCATCAAAAGAATACATCTGCTCTAGAGAATGTACAAAACGGCAACAAAAGTCACCCCAGAACTAAGTCAACCCTCATACCAGGAATGGTTGAGAGCCAGAGGACTAACAACACTGGTAAACCAGACATGACAGGGCTGATTTCATTGAGATAATTAAAATACTGTACTGCACAAGTTTGAGGACATTAAGCCACTTCTTTAGAAAGTCAAATTTAATGCATACAAGGGGCAGCAGCTTTAAACTCAACAAGCCACAAAGTAGAACAGGAAACACGATTTTACATTCAGAGGGTTATAAACCCCCATGGGACTGCCTACCCGCAAAACTGTAAAGTAAAAACAGTCTTTGACAGACAAGTTAAGTGCAGGTCAAAATCCAGCTATAAAAAAAAAAAAAAAAGTCCTCGGGGAAAAATAGGGGGACCTTCAACTAGCTGCCAGCTTCCTGTTCCCATCAAGGCCACTAGAAAGATGGCATCATTCAGGTAAATTCTGGTATATAAAAACCCACTCCTTTGTCCATATATAGATTCTAACATTGGTGAGAGACAAAATTGTGACTTGACAACAATTGCAGCAACTGGTACATGATAACCTCATCACTAAGTAAGCAATTAAAAATGATAACACTCCGAGGGTTACAATACACACATATGAAACAGACAATAAAACCGAACATTTGAAATTGGTGATTTTATTATAAAATGGCAATGTTTAAAAACTAAGGGTAAGATGCAGCAGAGGGAATAAGACACGTACACAGAATACTACCCTGCTCACAGAACTTTTAAAGTTGAGGATAAAAAAAATTTACCCAGCAACAAAGATGGTGTCTTCATTACATTGCTGCATTCCAACCAACATGCATGCCACTGCCCCAGATCGCTCATCATTACTGCATGATCCATCACTCACGATTTCAACTTTCTTCGGCAGTGTCTCTCTCCACTTCTCATACCTGCAATGAAATATGCTTATGTGATGACAACAAAGTGACTGCATTGAAATGTAGAATGTATAAAGATGGTACAGCGACTACATGAAGCACAAGAATGTACGCTGATGGAACAGCGAATACATGAAGCTGATGAATGTATGATGATAAAGCGACTACATGATGCTGTATAGTGTACGATGATGAAACAGTGACATGAAGCTGTAGAGTGAATGAAGATGGTACAGCTGTGGGAAAATTTACCAGTGGGATTTGTATTATTTTTTCAGTTATTGTCAGCTTTACTTATGCCTATGCCTTCTCATCTCTTCACAATCAACTTGATGATGGTCCAGAACAGACCAAAACGTCATCGTCTTTTCATCTTCTAGTGTGTGGTTTGGTCAACATTTTTCAGCCACGTTATTGTGACTCATCATCTGAGTATAGATTAAATTTTATCACACCGATAAACCTCCTTCACAAACTTGGGGGGGTTTATAATATCAATTACACAAGAATTAACCCATTAGTTGCTTGGATTGATTATATTAAAGTGAATTTATGTTATTTAGATCTACTAATTATCATTGCTATTATTTAAAATACACCACAGCTTTGCTGTTATAGTAGTAGAAGTTCTCAGTAGCCAGTTCGGACTCGATTCGGTCACGTGGTCTATGGAGTCTCTAGTGAGCAGGATCGGACAAGATTCAGTCACGTGGTCTAGCATCTCTAGGCGACGATCCACAATTGTAACCTACAAATGTCTCAATTTACCTTCCACCTAATTACACCATGAAATCTACTACAGTGTACAGTACATACAATGTGTTCATATTATCAATGGAATGATCAGTAATCACTTTTGGATTTAAGATGGTATTAAATATTCTCACCAGTATTTTGGTGTTTACACGTATCATAACAAATGATGAATTTATATATACAATGAGCTCATGTACTGAAAATATAACGTCACCGGAAAGACACTTATCTTGGGATCTGGTGTGCAGTAATATGATTGTTAAACACTTGCGAAATAACGTAAAAGTTAAACAATCGTGAAATCTCAACCAAACACGTTCAGTTCTAAGATGGCCAGCCCCCCCTCTCCCGACTGGAGGGGATCTCATTCCCAGATGCGTTATTCTTGATTTCCGGAAGGAGTGGCTTTATTGAGTTTATTTAATTACAGTGCTTAATCACTATCGAACCCCGCTCTATCGAATTCCCGGATGATCCGAACAAATTAAATTCGGTACTAAATGTTCAGTGGAACATACAAATTTTCGATTAAGTGAGGATTGTTCGTCCAAGCGATCACGAGACCGAGCTGTCATTGTTGATGACAGCCACTGTCATCAACTATGATTCACCAGAGTGTAAACAGTTGTACAGAATTTTGCTTACCCATTGTTTCCAGTGAGAAATGGTTGAAGGATGATAAAATGGTGTCAGGGGTGGCAGGTGGTGTCAGGGGAGGCAGGTTGTATTAGATGTCAGGGGAGGCAGGTGGGGTCAATGGTGAGCTCTGGTTATCAGTTATCAGCTAGTTGGCAACACATTGCTGAGGTAATCCCAGGCAGGGTACTGTTAACTGGCGCCCAAAGCTATCAAACAACTTTCCAAGAACTGAACCCCGGGATGTGTACACTCACGGGGACCTAGCAGGGGGAACCACCAGAATAATACTCAGAACACAAGGGACACAGGGGGCAAGAACGAAGGCAGACCCACCACCAGGTAAATAAATAAAAATAAAAAGAAAACCCTGCAAGAGGACAGCGTACCCAGGCAGAACAGAGCCGGCCATCATATAGGTGAAAACAAACTGTGCAGCACCCTGCGCCCCACCAGTGCAAAACTGCCCCTTACCCTGCAACCCGTTCTCGCAAATTCGTAAAGTCAATATTGACTTATTAACTACGTGCATAGGTGATATACTAAACATAATAGATACCCCTAAAAAGATTCATAGAAAACACCGACCTTGCCTAACCTTGTTAGTATCTTAAGATAAGCATCTTATTGCTTCGTAATTACAATTATTACTTAACCTATACCTATTATAGGTTAGGTAATAATTGTAATTACGAAGCAATAAGATGCTTATCTTAAGATACTAACAAGGTTAAGTAAGGTCGGTGTTTTCTATGAATCTTTTTAAGGGTATCTATTATGTTAAGTATGTCACCTATGCACATATTTAATAAGTCAATATTGACTTATTAAATTTGCGAGAACGGGTTGTACCCTGAGGCTAACAAGGGAGACATTACCCCCCTATCAAGCAGTAAACAGCCTAGCAGGGGCAGAACCCCAAGGAACTTATTGGAACGTGGTCCCAAGTCCCAAGGGCAGTACTTACAGGGCACCTAGGGAAGGGAACCCTAGGCGCATGCAGCCCAAGTACTGGAGACTCACTCCCGGCTCACACACCACCTAGAAGACAGACACCACACTCTAGGTACAGTGCTGAAACAACTAATGGATCCGGAGCACACAACCGGTGCCTGTAGCATCAGCCGAAGAACTGATGGGTGGATAGCCGGCGTGAGCGGTCTGGGGCTCCCCCTTGCCCCTCCCGGGGAGGGGTGGAGCTGCGCAGACAGCAGCGCAGTGACGTGTGATGTCATACTAGTTTGCTTGTTTTCTGTTGGGGAGTTCTATCCACTAGTTCGGCTTTTGGTAGCAATTTTAACCAGAATAGGGGTTTGTTTTGGAATGCTTACTTTTCTGGATGCTTGACCCGGTCGATGGCAGACATAGAATGCTTTCAACCACACGGAGATTTCTAAAGGCCATTGCTCCCCTTGCCTCTCTGAGGGGGCCAGGTTCTGGCCGTGGTCCTCGGTAGGCCCTAGAACTCCATACACATGACTGATGCCAAAGTCTGACATTAGCATATCAGCCTGGTATAGCTCCGGGGAGCCGATGGGGTTTCCCCCCAGAAAATTAAACAAATATTAACCATGATGGTGCAGTTATCATATGTTGATTCACAGGGTAATGATGTTATTATGTGTTAATTAAACTATTACTGCTAAGTTTTGCACGAATGATACTAATATGGACATAATACTTCTATGTATAAGTGGTGGAGTTTACCTTAACACATGAAAAAGTCCTGCAATTGTTTCATTATTCATAACTATACAAATGAGTTTATCCTTGCGAATGTTACTTACTACTTGGTCTCTCTTTTGCTACTTTCCCTGGCCCTTGCTGTGTCATTGACCTCAATAGTTCCTTTGTTAAGTTTCACAATTGTAATTCTAGTACTCTTTCAGACCTGTCTGCCTTTAGGGAGGCTCTAACCCCCGCCATAGACAGTTTTCTAGAAATCTCCACCTTCCTCATCGCTTCAAGTTTGTCCTTGCCTCCCTGAAAGCTAGTAACTCTATTGTTATCCTTTCTTCAGACAAAGGCAATTTGGTGAATGTTCTTTATCATGTAGACTACAGTACAGCACCTCCAAAAGGCTGATGTTTTGCCCCTGACTCCCGTACATATGCTCCTCTGATTTCTAACCCTTTGGATTGCCTTAAAACTTCTTTTAACAACAAATTAAGACAGTTTTCAAGTCTCTGTCCTCCAGACTTTGATCTCGTAAAAATGTTTCTATATCATTTGCCCTACTCTTCCATATTTCTAGAGAAAATTTATTTGTGAATGTCTAAAATTCCCAAACTTGGTGTTCCTCTTTGTCCTAATATTTCTTCAATCAAGAGCCTCTGTTGGCTACCTTCTGCATGCACCAGCCTTTGTCACTCTGGCAGTACTGAGGTTATCACAGCCAGCATGGATACACACATTTTCTGTGGAGAGCCCCATCGGCTCCCCACAAAGGCCCCAGTGCCTGGGGCCAGCTAAGTGCCTGTAGGACTCATTCATCCTATTGGCCCTGGAAAGCCCTGTTGGGCTCTATTGTACCATGGATACTTCCGAGCACACACTCACCTTGTGCAAATTCGAGGGTTATTCGTCGCCACGGATGGCAACGAATAACCGTACTGGAGTAAACGATATGGAAGAAAATGCAGAATAGAACCAGTGAAGAGCAGAGGTGCCATAGGCACAATCAGAGAACACTGTATAAACATCAGAGGTCTGCGGCTGTTCAACGTCCTCCCAGCGAGCATCAGAAATATTGCAGGAACAACCGTTGACATCTTCAAGACAAAACTAGACTGTTTTCTAAAAGACGTTCCGGACAAACCGGGCTGTGGTCGGTATGTGGGCCTGCGGGCCGCTGCAAGCAACAGCCTGGTGGACCAAACTCTCACAAGTCAAGCCTGGCCTTGGGCTGGGCTTGGGGAGTAGAAGAACTCCCAGAACCCCATTAACCAGGTATCAACCAGGATAGCATCCTGCCTCAGGATGACTATCATCATTACTGCCTTCGCCATGCTGCTTGTTGGATTGAGGACACCTACGACCCAGAGTCTATGGGAATACCGTATTCTACGGGATCAGGCAGCTGCTGTGTTGCATGAATGGTTCTCGCCAATGCAACGGGCCAGGTTGGTTACCTGTTTGGAAGCCCTGGAGCTGCCCCACTTGGGAATGTAGGTCGCTTCGGCCTTGGTTCAGTTTACGCCTCCTTTTCCCTTCTGGGTGGGTTCGTCCCTGCTCCACTTTCCCCTCCTGCTTCTGGCTCCCAAGAATCTGAGTGTTTCGCAGTCAGGGCAGGGTGAGGCTCGGGGCAGGGTGATGCTCGGGGTAGGGTGAGGCTCGGGTGGCTTTGGGGGCTGCCCCTTCTGATACGAGTGCGGAGGTTATCGAGCCTCTCTCTTTCGCCGAGACTTCCGAGTCTTCACTTTATTGTGAGTCCAGCAGACTCCCTTCTTTGAAGCCTTTTGAAGCCTTTGAAGCCTTCCTTGGACTCTGCCATTCCTTCTAGGGCAGTGAGCGTGGATGAGAGCTCTGCTCCAGGGCCTTTGTCAATGGTTTCTGGGGCTCGAGGGGAGCCCAAGTGGAGCTCTTGAGTTCCATTTGACTCCGCTTGGGCCCTTGTGCCCCTTGCGCAGGGGCTGCTTCTGCATGGGAGGGTTTTTTTTTGTACCCACCTTCCCTTTATGAGTTTGAGTTGGGTGGGGCTTCCCCCTGAGTTTGTTTCCGGGTGCCTTTGGGTTCCTCGGATTCATCTTTCCAGAGGTTTTCTTCCTCTTTGAATTTCCCCTGTGGAGATTCGGGAGGCTATCAGTGCCTACCTCCCGTGGGACCCAGTTTATGCCTTGGTGATGAATCCTGCTTCCTTTGAGTTCGGCTCTTCTTCCCCATATTGGATGCGTTACGAGGTTCCAGAGTCTTCCTGGCTGGAAGACTCTGTCAATTCTCTCGTGTGGCTTTTGTCGTACCTGCACTCTTGAATGCCGGGAAGTTTCCATGGTGTTGCGGGTGTTCTTTGGGGGCTCTCAGGAGTTTCTCTATGAGTGCCTCTTTGCTCCTGCACTTCCTCAGGATGCAAGTCTGATGCAGTTGCATACTCAGGTCTCCTCTCTTTTGGCTGCTTCAGTGGCCGATGACTTTCGGACTCGTGGTCATTTGGTCTCTGTCTTGCACTTCTTTGGTCTTCTGGAGCTGTCTTCTGATTGACTTTCAGAAAATGCAGGGGCACAGGGTGAGGTGTCCTCGGCTGGGGTAAGTGTCTCAGTTGCTGTGTCGTCTGCCATGCTGAAGCTGTTTGCGCCGATCCTCCAGGAAGAGGTTTCCATGTTTTTCACCTCCTGTCTCGTGTGTCAGCAGGCTGTGCTGACTCTCTCCTTGGATTCAGCTTGGGGTCTGGCTCTGCAGTCTTCTTTGCCATATTGTTTTCTATTGTTTATGAGAACTGTCTCAGTTTTTGTTGGCAGCTTCGACTAGTTGCCGGCCTATTTTTTATTTGTTGATTCTCTGGGAGGGTCGCTCCTGGCCCTCTCGGCCGGGTCAGGCCAGGGCAGACCTGTGGTACAGTTTCTGAATTGGTGGTGTCCCTGGTGCTTTCTTCGTCTGGGTGGTGTGATGTTCACTTTGCACGGAGGTCAGGCCCTTGGGGTTGACCTCGGCCCTTTCGCGGGTCTCCCCATTGGCAGGGCGACCTTTGGCAGTCCCTACCAGGGACTGGCTTTGGTCCCTGGTAGGCGAAACAAAACTTCTGCAACTGATGAAACCTTTAAGTATAGAGCAATCTCAGCAAGATAGCCTCAGGTAATCACTGGGGTGACTCCCCAAAAGAAAACACATGAGCTATTATAGTTTGCCATGTTTTCCACATTCAAAGGTTAGTTATTTTATAGTTAGAGTTATTCAGGAAAGACATATCCACAGAACAAAAATGTAATTTTTACTAACTCACAGTTTCTTATGAAGGTCATTGACAACAACAACGATGCTTCTTATTTCCCGAGTTTGGTCGAAGGCTTGAATCCAGTGTGTTATAAGAGGGCAGCTCCCTATAGGAAGTAAAGGCTTTGGCACACCAATAAGATGAGAGAACTGTCCGCTGCAATCATTTCTCAAGTCTTGCTCCAATCTGTAAATAAAAATGCTACAGTACTGTATTTCAGTTCCTCCATTTACTTCATCTTTACAAATGCTGTACTGTACTGTACTTTCTAAATAGCAGGTCTCCCTATTTTTAATCTGTTTTCCACAGTATTTAAAAGCAATGATGATAAGTTTGAATAAAATTAGCAGTCAATTTGATTCATGATATTTACAATGAACCTATGAACATAAAAGTGCAGGTGCAGAAAACTTGTTAGCAATATGAGGCATGATGATGACCAAACCACACATCAGAAGATAGAGATGACAACGTTTCGGTCCGTCCTGGACCATTATCAAGTCCACTGTGGTCCAGGACAGACAATAAACTTCGCCATCTCCTAATCTTCTGGTGTACGGTTTGGTCATAATATCTACATCCATGTTATTGTGACTCGTTGTCTGCATATGAGGCAGCTCTTGTTTACATCCACCCAAACTTGTTCATATATATGTGTAACCTTTGCTTGAAGCAATCCAGCAATCCCACCTGCCTGGTTTCCTGTTGCCAGGCTCCCATTTCCCCAGGTTGTCTGTAGTATCATGAAGTCTAGCTAGCCTATGGTCTTCCCTTTGGCCCATGATGTTTGTCAGTACGTACATGGCTTTGGCCGCTTTCTTTTCTAATGTTATGGGCTTATATTTGGGCTCTGGGGTTTGACGTTCTGACAGAGTGCTAGCTGCCCGGTATTTGGTTAATGTTTCTGGGCCCAGTCGGTCATGTGCGGCTTTGAGCTGTGTCACCCAACCTGGTTTATCCTCTTCATCTCAAGTGCCTACAAACTCTTTTCCTTTATGGTAAGTTCCTTTCTTGTTCTCTGTGCTCTGTGCTTTCGTGCATCTCTGTGCTGTGCACAAGAGGCTCCCTCCAAAAATCCTGTGTTGAACGTAATGAAAAGACAAATTATGGAGGAACCCCAGTCAGTCCATGTCCCCGCCCTCAAGGTTTGTCGATTCATTGAGGGTTTGTTCATCAGGTCCAGAACTGCCTTGCTGGAGATGGCTGGGCCACCTAGTGGTGATACTGAAGACTAATGAGTTCCGAGCTTGTTTGAGTGAATTCCTTGTAATGTGCAACTCATTTGCAGTAGTGGTTAGGCAGTTTTTCAAGGCTTCCTCTATTGAGGTGGTAGATTGTCACCTGCTCTCTGCACCTCTGTGAGGGGGTTCAGGTTCTGTCTCTGGTCCCCTGCAGGCCAAGCAGAACTAGCCATGGCTGATGTGACCTTTTAGAATGAAGCAATCACAGGAAGATAACTTCAGGAAGCCACAAGGGGTGCACTAAAAAAAAAAAAAAAAAAAAAAAAAAAAAAAAATAATCAGTGTTGAATGTAATGAAACACCATTTTCTGGGCGAGTCCTGAAGGCTCCCAAGAGCTATCCAGGCTGAATGGATATGTACATCTTTCTGGCATCAGTCAATGCATGGAGTTTTTGCCTACTCCATGCATTGGAGTAGGCAAAAATCCAGAACCTGGACCCCTCTAGAGAGGCCCCGAGGAGCAATGGCCTATAGTTAACATAATAACCATGTAGTCAACCTGAGAGACCCAAGCCTGGGAACAGGAGAGAAGGGAAACCGGGTCAACCCAAAGCGCATCCCTGGCCACTGAAGCTGCGGCACACAAATAACAGCGGAGAGCCGCAACCGGACAACACATGATGCATCCCTGGCCTGACCAACCAAGCATCAACAACCCAAGGCCCCCTCCAAAATGCAGTCATTTTATTCTTCGCCAGAAAAGGAGACAGCTGCAATCGAACAAAGCAATCACCAGGACCAAAGGAGCAGAAAACCCCTGCGTCAGAGGAGAGCACGAAGCTCCCCGTCCCAACTCCCAGAGACCAATGCCAACAGGAAAAGAGCTTTAGAAGAACAATTTCGAACGAAAGGGGCCACAACAAACCGAGGAGAAGAGAGAAACGAGAGCACCTGGTCCAAAGACCAGGATGGCTCAGGAGGCACATGAGCAGGCCAGAGGTGAAACAACGCCCGAGACAGCTTGTGGAACGGGGCAGAAGTAACATCAACACCGAAAGTAAGCTGAAGTGGCTCCGCCAGTGCCGCACGATATGAGGCGACAGTATTTGGCATAAGATGACGGTCCTGGAACAACCAAGAGAGAAAGGACAGCACAATCCTATCAGAGACTGAAGAATACCTACACAGTGATAGGAAGAACTGGAAGGATCGCCAAGAAACATCATACTGCTGCCGAGACAAAGCATGCAGGTGGGAGACCAACAACAAAGCCACCTGCGCACCATACAAGTGATGATAAACCCGAGTCAAAACCTCCAGACGCGAAGACTCGAGGAGAAGACCGAACCAGCCTCATACGGGGCTGGACTGATCCGCTGAAGACGGCGGAGCCACAGGAAGAACCTCGGGTTCGGACACCGAGCAAGCAGCGCCTGAAACCAAGGCTGAGCCGACCACCAAAGGGCCAGAAGGACAACTCTTCCCGGTTAAGTCTTCAAGCAAGCCAGGACCTGGAGCAACAGCTGAACCAGAGGAAAGAAGTACAGGTGACCCCACCTCGTCCAGTCCTGCCTGAAGCTGCCAAAAAACAAATTTTTGACAGCTTTGTTTACAATTATTGAGAACAGTTAATGAGCTCCGAAGCACCAGGAGGCTGTTTATAACAATAATAACAGTTGAGTGGGAAGTTTCCATGCTTGAAAATTGTTTAATAATTGTAACCAAAGCAGTCAAAAGATTGAGGAAAGATGTACACGTTCGTAAATACTAGCGTAACCGCTTTGTGAATCTGGCCCCAGGTTGTATGCCTGCAAAACATAGGAGAGCGAGTACCTCAGAGAAGTCATCCATGCCTGATGTTATAATGGAAGAGGACACCCCTTCCAAACACTAACACCTCTCCTCCTCCCCTACCCCCTCTTCACTGTCTTCCATACTCCAACAAGTCATTAATAAAGGTAAGCTGTAACTTGTTCATACTATAGAACAAAATATTTGTGTGTATTATGTAGGAAATGTATTTTGAAGTTAATATTTTTGGGAGTGTAGATCGGATTAATTAAATTTACATTATTTCTTATGGGGAAAATTCATTTCGGGTTGCAAATTTTCGGCTTACAACCCATCTCCAGAAACTGATTAAATTTGAAAACCAAGGTATCACTGTAAATAAAAATATAATAATATAGTATATGTAGAGAACATGCTCAGTGGGTATTTTGGTAGTTTAATGTCAACCGACATCAGTGGATGACATCCGACTGATGTTAAAGTGACCAAAAATGCCCGCTGGATGTGGGTTTACATAATACTGTACTGTACATCCTAGGTTAATACTTAATGCTAGAAATATACTTTAGTTACATTGGAAAACATTGTTGAATCTTAAAACAAGAATAAAATACTTACTGTCAGTACAGCACTGTACTTAAAATTAACAGGTGGATTGCCACCACCCAGGTATCACTGGGACCTAGCTGCCACCACCCAGGTATCACTGGGACCTAGCTGCCACCACCCAGGTATCACTGGGATCTAGCTGCCACTGCCCAGGTATCACTGGGATCTAGCTGCCACCACCAAGGTATCACTGGGATCTAGCTGCCACCACCCAGGTATCACTGGGACCTAGCTGCCACCACCCAGGTATCACAGGGACCTAGCTGCCACCACCCAGGTATCACTGGGACCTAGCTGCCACCACCCAGGTATCACTGGGACCTAGCTGCCACCACCCAGGTATCACTGGGACCTAGCTGCCACTGCCCAGGTATCACTGGGACCTAGCTGCCACTGCCCAGGTATCACTGGGATCTAGCTGCCACTGCCCAGGTATCACTGGGATCTAGCTGCCACCACCAAGGTATCACTGGGATCTAGCTGCCACTGCCCAGGTATCACTGGGATCTAGCTGCCACCACCAAAGTATCACAGGGACCTAGCTGCCACCACCCAGGTATCACTGGGACCTAGCTGCCACCACCAAGGTATCACTGGGACCTAGCTGCCACCACCAAGGTATCACTGGGATCTAGCTGCCACCACCCATGTATCACAGGGACCTAGCTGCCACCACCCAGGTATCACTGGGACCTAGCTGCCACCACCAAGGTATCACAGGGACCTAGCTGCCACCACCCAGGTATCACTGGGACCTAGCTGCCACCACCAAGGTATCACAGGGACCTAGCTGCCACCACCCAGGTATCACTGGGACCTAGCTGCCACCACCCAGGTATCACTGGGACCTAGCTGCCACCACCCAGGTATCACAGGGACCTAGCTGCCACCACCCAGGTATCACTGGGACCTAGCTGCCACCACCAAGGTATCACAGGGACCTAGCTGCCACCGCCCAGGTATCACAGGGACCCAGCTGGCACCATCCAGGTATCACTGGGACCTAGCTGCCATCACCCAGGTATCACTGGGACCTAGCTGCCATCACCCAGGTATCACTGGGACCTAGCTGCCACCACCCAGGTATCACTGGGACCTAGCTGCCACCACACAGGTATCACTGGGACCTAGCTGCCACCACCCAGGTATCACTGGGACCTAGCTGCCACCACCCAGGTATCACTGGGACCTAGCTGCCACCACCCAGGTATCACTGGGACCTAGCTGCCACCACCCAGGTATCACTGGGACCTAGCTGCCACCACCCAGGTATCACTGGGACCTAGCTGCCACCACCCAGGTATCACTGGGACCTAGCTGCCACCACCCAGGTATCACTGGGACCTAGCTGCCACCACCCAGGTATCACTGGGACCTAGCTGCCACCACCCAGGTACCACTGGGACCTAGCTGCCACCACCCAGGTATCACAGGGACTTAGCTGCCACCACCCAGGTATCACAGGGACCTAGCTGCCACTGCCCAGGTATCACAGGGACCTAGCTGCCACTGCCCAGGTATCACAGAGACTTAGCTGCCACCACCCAGGTATCACAGGGACCTAGCTGCCACTGCCCAGGTATCACAGGGACCTAGCTGGCACCACCCAGGTATCACTGGGACCTAGCTGCCACCACCCAGGTATCACTGGGACCTAGCTGGCACCACCCAGGTATCACTGGAACCTAGCTGGCACCACCCAGGTAAACAAATCCCAGGTATCACTGGGACCTAGCTGCCACCACCCAGGTATCACTGGGAGTTGAAGGGACGACGACGTTTCGGTCCGTCCTGGACCATTCTCAAGTCGATTGTGACAATCGACTTGAGAATGGTCCAGGACGGACCGAAACGTCGTCGTCCCTTCAACTTCTAATGTGTGGTCTGGTCAACATACTTCAGCCACGTTATTGTGACTCATCGCCTGCATATCACTGGGACTTAACTGCCACCGCCCAGGTATCACTGGGACTTAGCTGACACCACCCAGGTATCACTGGAACCTAGCTGGCACCACCCAGGTATCAATGAGGTACTTATATCATACCTAGTACCATAGCCTGCTGCCAGGATAACAGCCCGCATGATGTCCCGCTAATGAATCTCCAGCAGCAGACGGGAGACTGAGGTGGTTGGGAGGTGCCGGGCCACGTGTCGCTCTCCAGGTGTTTGTTTACCATCATCAGCTGACGCGCTTGACACCCGTTGCCAGATGTATGCGTCGGTGTTGGGCGCCTCTGCATGGACGCCTTATTAAATCAAATCAAATCAAATATTTATTCAGGTAAAGTACATAAATACAAGGCGAGATACAAAACATTGATGGATTTATAGATAGAGCTAGTACATCCATTGCCTAAAGCCACTATTACGCAAAGCGTTTCGGGCAGTATGACCATAGCACCCTCTGAAGGGTTATTAACATCAGTCTAACCTCTTAATCTAGGTTGTAGACTACTGTGCTACAGAGGTACTCAGTAGAGTCTGTGACCTCTCGGTATATATGTCACTAGAAGAGTACCCGGTGGTGCCCAGGTCTCTTGCCCCTTCACCTGTGCTTACTCCCCTCCCCCCACCTCTTCCCCCCCCCCCCACAACCCCTTTCCCTTCCCACCTCCTACCCCCTCCCACCTTTTTCCCCTTTTAACCCCTCTTCTTCCCCCATTCCTCCCCCCTCTACCCTCATCTTACATGTTCCCCTCTCACTATCTTCTTCATGGTACCCCATCTTCACTACTCACTATCTCCATCACTGTAATCATCTTCCCTACTCACTATCTTCATCACGATAACAAGTTTTACCATCTTGATCACTGTAATCATTTCATTATCTTCACCATAATCCATTTCATTATCTTCACCATAATCCATTTCATTATCTTCACCACCATAACCATCTTCCGTATTCAGTATCTTCATCACTATAACCAATCTTCCCTTCTCACTATCTTCATCACTGTAACTATCTTCACTACTCACTATCATCATCAATGTAACCCGATAAAATGCCGTTTATAATTTTTAAGAACTCAAAGCGCGGGTAAACGGCAGGAGTAACATAAAATTCTACGAAAAACACATCCGCTATTTTATTTTAGTCTTCGTTATAATGACCTGAGGAGTTGGGGGTGGGGATGGGTTAGAGGTTAATATGTTTCTTCAGTGTGGCATTGGATATGACTCTGACCAGCCTATGTCAGTTCCGTAGCCCAGACCATTTACCCTGCAAAGTTGGGTGATCGTAGCCCCAAGCTCCTGGCCTCCGAAACAGACGATCTCTTTTATGTATACTGTATATGGTATTAATTTTAAGCGTCTGAAGAAGGGGAAATTAATAAAGTATTTAACAATATATGTAATTATTTATTTAATAATTAAATTAATAATAATAATAATTTATTTATTATTAAATTATTAATTAAATTGAAACTAGATATAGTCATACTGATTTATATATATTTATATGCGGTATACTGTACATGCACTTTATTATATTATATTATATATATATTTTTATTATATACAATTTATCTTATATATTTATATATTATCAAGTTAAAGTATTTTATGCCGCTTTTGTTTTAGTGATAAAGTTAGAGTAACACTGTAGAGGAAAGTACAGATGTGTCGAGATGGATCACCAGTAACACTGTAGAGGAAAGTACAGATGTGTCGAGATGGATCACCAGTAACACTGTAGAGGAAAGTACAGATGTGTCGAGATGGATCACCAGTAACACTGTAGAGGAAAGTACAGATGTGTCGAGATGGATCGCCAGTAACACTGTAGAGGAAAGTACAGATGTGTCGAGATGGATCACCAGTAACACTGTAGAGGAAAGTACAGATGTGTCGAGATGGATGACCAGTAACACTGTAGAGGAAAGTACAGATGTGTCGAGATGGATCACCAGTAACACTGTAGAGGAAAGTACAGATGTGTCGGGATGGATCACCAGTAACACTGTAGAGGAAAGTACAGATGTGTCGGGATGGATCGCCAGTAACACTGTAGAGGAAAGTACAGATGTGTCGAGATGGATCGCCAGTAACACTGTAGAGGAAAGTACAGATGTGTCGAGATGGATCACCAGTAACACTGTAGAGGAAAGTACAGATGTGTCGAGATGGATCGCCAGAAAGTTAACTCTTATATTATCAAGTTTGGACAACCAGAAAAGTTTTTATCTTACTAATAAAACTAAACCTAACCATCTTAGGCCCTAATGCATGATATATGTGGCCTAATATAGTACATATGTGCGCTATACTAGGCCTAGGAATATTTAAGATTGTTTTCTAGCTTCATTTATTTTAAAACAATTCGTTACTAGTCAGTATACTACTATCTTAAAGCTAAGTATGTACGCTTTCGTGACTATTGACGACCGTCATCATAGGTTCTATTTTCACACCATTTATTTTGGCCTGTCCCCTAGGGATGCGTTTCGCAAGGTCACTCCTTACATTCTCAAAAACTAAATTACTATGCTGTTGTTGTTGTTTTAGATGCAGCTACTCGGAACAAAAAGTTCCAAGTAGCACGGGCTATGGTGAGCCCGTAGAATGGACTTATGAGGCACAGAAGCGGTCTCTCTGCATCTGCTCTATTTTTTACCATGCTTTTGCAAAGGTTTATATTCTCTTTAGGTGAGGTGGTACAGAACAAGTGGGGTCCAGGGTTCGAGACCCCTTCAGTCCAGGTGAATGGAGAGTATATAATCTCCTCACACACCCAGACCATCACCAGACACAGCCTAACAAGCAACACTGAAATAATGGACAGGTATAAGGACAACAGAAGACTGGACACCAGCGAGGCCCGACACATAACAAAAGTCAAGAGCAACAATCAACAACCAGTTAACACATAATTACATTCTACCCACTCCAAGACCCCGAGCCAACACAGAGACAGGATCCACACGACCATAAGCTGCTTATGTTGATGCATGTAATATCCTATTAATATTCCTTATGTTATGCCGTTCATCAACTTGTTCTGTACCACCTCATCCAAAGAGAATATAAGCCTTTGCAAAAGCATGGTAAAGACCGATCTCATTAACAAGCTGTTCGACCAAAACTGCGGAAAGAATGACTCTTAACCCAATTGAATGGAAAGCCAATCCACTACACCAAAATATGTTTGCTTACAGAAAAGGTGTTGGAACCACAGAATGTCTTACCTCCCTCCTGGATCAAATCAATGACAAACCTGGAAGCCTTATTTTTCTAGACCTTGAAAAAGCTTTCGAGTTAGCCAGTGCTCCAGCTACACTATGGTGCCTTGTGGATAAGGAAATCAAAGGGCACGCTCTTGCCTATGCCAAAGGAAGCCTGCTTAACCGAGAAGCTAAAGACAAATTCCAAGGAAAAACATCGACCTCAAAGAGGCTGGTAAATGGAACTCCGCAGGGAGGAATACTAAGCCCCTTCCTCTTCAACTGTCTCATGGAACAATTCATGAAGCTCAAGTTACCAAAAGCCAAACTTCTTAACTATGCAGACGACTTTGTGGTCATCATCAATGACAAAGGCGCCAGGAACAATACTAAAAAATGCCTAGATATTATCAGCAAGGAAGCGGAACGCATAGCAGTGAAAATAAACAGCAATAAAACCAAAGCAAAGGCCGTTAAAAGGAGAACTCAAGAGATCAGACTGGCAATACAAGGACAAGAAATTTAGTGGGTTACCTCTTTTCAATACCTAGGAGTCATAATAGACAACCAGTTGAAATTCACTCAAGAAATTGAATATCTTCGGCAACGTTGTAAAGCCAGAAACTCAGCTTTGCGCTCCTTGACAAGTCTTAGAGATGGTCCTATATGGACGCGTCGAGAGAATCTAAGAATGGAAACCAACTTAGAAAACAGGATCAAACAAAGAATAGCCACTATAGCAACACAACTTGTTGGAACCACCGCCAGACTGTCAATCAAAGACGGCATACACAGATCGCTTCACAGAAACTTTCAATATAGAACAAGATAATCTGGTCGGATAATCTGGTCAAGATTCTAGAGAAAGTGGACTTGAAATGGACCATTAAAAACAAAGGAGAAGACAGACCATATCAACACTTTCGGCAGCCTCCTCCATGGGAAGAATCCAAGTCTAAAGATAATCATTGAAGGATTACCAGTTCAAAAATCAGCATGTGAATCGCAGAGGCTCAAAGCAGTCATAGAACGACAAATGGAAACCATCTCAAGATATACAACGACTCACATCTTCACAGATGGATCAGATGATCAAGAAAGAGGTTCTGCTGGGGCAGCAGTTTACACTACCAACCATGAAGCTTACTGGAGCATGAATAGTGGGTGCTCAACATTGCAGACATAATTATATGCCCTGAAGGAGGCCATAAACTATACAATTGAGAATAATTTACATGATGTCATCATTCATACAGACTCTAAATCTTCGCTCCAGGCATTGTTATCCAGTCAACACAGAGATAATATACAACTCCTCACAGAAATTCAACATATAGGAAAAGAAGCCCATAATCTAGGGCTGTCAATCACCCTAAATTGGATACCAAGTCACATTGGCATAGATGGTAATGATAAGGCAGACTCACTAGCAAAACTGCCACTGCTCTACCTGTTGTACAGGTTCAAATACCTCCGAGTTTCTCACAGATTAAGGAGCAAATCAAGAAGAAAATACAACTATCAAAAGTCGCCACAGAGCCAAAGTAGCGGAAGGAAGAACCACTGCGATATGGTACGAACAAGCCACTGGGTACTACTCTACAAGCCTGACAAAAAGATATCCAGAGACATTGCAGTAGCCATACACAGACTTAGACTTGGTTACAAGTGCTGCTGGGAGGTAATGAACCCAATAGTTAAAGAGTGTCACATCTGTGGAACAGAAGCAGAGGCGCCACTATTGCACTACTTACTGGAATGTGAAGCTACTGAACCCCTGCGCATCAAACTCAACATTAATCCAACGACAGCAGCTGCATGAGATGCACATTCCACAGCCACTACAATGATTAGAAAAGCTGTTGAGGAATGGGACTCACTAGTGAACATTCTGCGCCTACATCCGCCACCAAGATAATGTTATTAAAACAAGACTAAAACCAATGTGCTAAAACAGTAGTGGAAAGAAACAGAAGAAAAGGAGGAAACTCCACCTCCATTTAAAACTTCGACCCAAATATCACAGTAACAAGTTAACGCGAATAACATAATTCAATTACGGGCTCACCATAGCCCGTGCTACATGGACATTCCGTTCCGAGTAGCTAAATCTACAACAACAACAACAACAAGCATGGTAAATTAGTCTTTGAGAATGTAAGGAGTGACCTTGCGAAACTCATCCCTAAGCGATAGACCAAAATAAAAAGTATGTAAATTAACTTTGGAGAGTTAGACGTCAACAGTAGAGGGAAGGGGAATTTCTCGGACCCGTCGTCAACAGTGGAGGGTCGGGGAACTTCCCGGGCCCGTCGTCAACAGTAGAGGGTCGGGGAACTTCCCGGGCCCGTCGTCAACAGTGGAGGGTCGGGGAACTTCCTGGGCCCGTCGTCAACAGTGGAGGGTCGGGGAACTTCCCGGGCCCGTCGTCAACAGTGGAGGGTCGGGGAACTTCCTGGGCCCGTCGTCAACAGTGGAGGGTCGGGGAACTTCCCGGGCCCGTCGTCAACAGTGGAGGGTCGGGGAACTTCCCGGGCCCGTCGTCAACAGTGGAGGGTCGGGGAACTTCCCGGGCCCGTCGTCAACAGTGGAGGGTCGGGGAACTTCCCGGGCCCGTCGTCAACAGTGGAGGGTCGGGGAACTTCCCGGACCCGTCGTCAACAGTGGAGGGTCGGGGAACTTCCCGGGCCCGTCGTCAACAGTGGAGGGTCGGGGAACTTCCCGGGCCCGTCGTCAACAGTGGAGGGTCGGGGAACTTCCCGGGCCCGTCGTCAACAGTGGAGGGACGGGGAACTTCCCGGACCCGTCGTCAACAGTAGAGGGTCGAGGAACTTCCCGGGCCCGTCGTCAACAGTGGAGGGTCGGGGAACTTCCCGGGCCCGTCGTCAACAGTGGAGGGTCGGGGAACTTCCCGGGCCCGTCGTCAACAGTGGAGGGTCGGGGAACTTCCCGGGCCCGTCGTCAACAGTGGAGGGTCGGGGAACTTCCCGGGCCCGTCGTCAACAGTAGAGGGGCGGGGAACTTCCTGGGCCCGTCGTCAACAGTGGAGGGGCGGGGAACTTCCCGCCCCTCTAACTGTCGTCAACAGGGAACTCGGGTTAGAGACATAAATTATGGAATGAGCAGCGATAGTCAGTAAACATCAATGATGGATATACATTAAATGGTGGGTATACATCAATGGTGGGTATACATTTATGATGGCCAAACATCACTGACGAGCAAACATCAATGGTGAGCAAATATCAGTGGTGGGTATACAGTAATGGAAGGTATACATCAGAGAATAACACAGCGGCAATGGTGGGTATACATATATATGTCCGGGAAACATCAATGTAGGGGTAGAGAGACCACTTTGGCCAGAGGAGACCACTCTGGTCAGAGGAGACCACTCTGGTCAGAGGAGACCACACTGGTCAGAGGAGACCACTCTGGTCAGAGGAGACCACGCTGGTCAGAGGAGACCACTCTGGTCAGAGGAGACCACACTGGTCAGAGGAGACCACTCTGGTCAGAGGAGACCACTCTGGTCAGAGGAGACCACTCTGGTCAGAGGAGACCACACTGGTCAGAGGAGACCACACTGGTCAGAGGAGACCACACTGGTCAGAGGAGACCACACTGGTCAGAGGAGACCACACTGGTCAGAGGAGACCACTCTGGTCAGAGGAGACCACTCTGGCCAGAGGAGACCACATTGGCCAGAGGAGACCACATTGGCCAGAGGAGACCACATTGGCCAGAGGAGACCACATTGGCCAGAGGAGACCACTCTGACCAGAGGAGACCACATTGGCCAGAGGAGACCACATTGGCCAGAGGAGACCACTCTGGCCAGAGGAGACCACTCTGGCCAGAGGAGACCACACTGGCCAGAGGAGACCACTCTGGCCAGAGGAGACCACTCTGGTCAGAGGAGACCACTCTGGCCAGAGGAGACCACTCTGGCCAGAGGAGACCACATTGGCCAGAGGAGACCACTCTGGCCAGAGGAGACCACATTGGCCAGAGGAGACCACATTCGCCAAAGGAGACCACTCTGGCCAGAGGAGACCACAGTGGCCAGAGGAGACCACTCTGGCCAGAGGAGACCACTCTGGCCAGAGGAGACCACTCTGGCCAGAGGAGACCACATTGGCCAGAGGAGACCACTCTGGTCAGAGGAGACCACATCGGCCAGAGGAGACCACTCTGGCCAGAGGAGACCACTCTGGCCAGAGGAGACCACTCTGGCCAGAGGAGACCACTCTGGCCAGAGGAGACCACATTGGCCAGAGGAGACCACATTGGCCAGAGGAGACCACTCTGGCCAGAGGAGACCACTCTGGCCAGAGGAGACCACATTGGCCAGAGGAGACCACTCTGGCCAGAGGAGACCACTCTGGTCAGAGGAGACCACTCTGGCCAGAGGAGACCACTCTGGCCAGAGGAGACCACATTGGCCAGAGGAGACCACATTGGCCAGAGGAGACCACATTGGCCAGAGGAGACCACATTCGCCAAAGGAGACCACTCTGGCCAGAGGAGACCACATTGGCCAGAGGAGACCACTCTGGCCAGAGGAGACCACATTGGCCAGAGGAGACCACTCTGGCCAGAGGAGACCACATTGGCCAGAGGAGACCACATTGGCCAGAGGAGACCACATTGGCCAGAGGAGACCACTCTGCCCAGAGGAGACCACTCTGGCCAGAGGAGACCACATTGGCCAGAGGAGACCACTCTGGCCAGAGGAGACCACTCTGGCCAGAGGAGACCACTCTGGCCAGAGGAGACCACATTGGCCAGAGGAGACCACTCTGGCCAGAGGAGACCACATTGGCCAGAGGAGACCACATTGGCCAGAGGAGACCACATTGGCCAGAGGAGACCACTCTGCCCAGAGGAGACCACATTGGCCAGAGGAGACCACTCTGGTCAGAGGAGACCACTCTGGCCAGATGAGACCACATTGGCCAGAGGAGACCACTCTGACCAGAGGAGACCACATTGGCCAGAGGAGACCACATTGGCCAGAGGAGACCACTCTGGCCAGAGGAGACCACTCTGGCCAGAGGAGAACACTCTGGTCAGAGGAGACCACATTGGCCAGAGGAGACCACTCTGGTCAGAGGAGACCACTCTGGCCAGAGGAGACCACATTGGCCAGAGGAGACCACTCTGGCCAGAGGAGACCACATTGGCCAGAGGAGACCACATTGGCCAAAGGAGACCACATTGGCCAGAGGAGACCACTCTGGCCAGAGGAGACCACATTGGCCAGAGGAGACCACTCTGGCCAGAGGAGACCACTCTGGCCAGAGGAGGCCACTCTGGCCAGAGGAGACCACATTGGCCAGAGGAGACCACTCTGGCCAGAGGAGACCACATTGGCCAGAGGAGACCACTCTGGTCAGAGGAGACCACACTGGTCAAAGGAGACCACTCTGGTCAGAGGAGACCACACTGGTCAGAGGAGACCACTCTGGTCAGAGGAGACCACACTGGTCAAAGGAGACCACTCTGGCCAGAGGAGACCACTCTGGTCAGAGGAGACCACTCTGGTCAGAGGAGACCACACTGGTCAGAGGAGACCACTCTGGTCAGAGGAGACCACACTGGTCAGAGGAGACCACTCTGGTCAGAGGAGACCACTCTGGTCAGAGGAGACCACACTGGTCAGAGGAGACCACTCTGGTCAGAGGAGACCACTCTGGTCAGAGGAGACCACTCTGGTCAGAGGAGACCACACTGGTCAGAGGAGACCACACTGGTCAGAGGAGACCACTCTGGTCAGAGGAGACCACTCTGGTCAGAGGAGACCACACTGGTCAGAGGAGACCACTCTGGTCAGAGGAGACCACTCTGGTCAGAGGAGACCACTCTGGTCAGAGGAGACCACACTGGTCAGAGGAGACCACTCTGGTCAGAGGAGACCACTCTGGTCAGAGGAGACCACACTGGTCAGAGGAGACCACTCTGGTCAGAGGAGACCACTCTGGTCAGAGGAGACCACTCTGGTCAGAGGAGACCACTCTGGTCAGAGAAGACTACCGTAGACTTCAGGGATGTGGTCACTCCGGGCGGAGGGTTCTCCCCAGGGATGTGATCACTCCGGGCGGAGGGTTCTCCCCAGGGACGTGGTCACTCCGGGCGGAGGGTTCTCCCCAGGGATGTGGTCACTCCGGGCGGAGGGTTCTCCCCAGGGATGTGGTCACTCAGGGCGGAGGGTTCTCCCCAGGGATGTGGTCACTCCGGGCGGAGGGTTCTCCCCAGGGACGTGGTCACTCCGGGCGGAGGGTTCTCCCCAGGGATGTGGTCACTCCGGGCGGAGGGTTCTCGCCAGGGATGTGATCACTCCGGGCGGAGGGTTCTCCCCAGGGATGTGGTCACTCCGGGTGGAGGGTTCTCCCCAGGGATGTGGTCACTCCGGGCGGAGGGTTCTCCCCAGGGATGTGGTAACTCCGGGCGGAGGGTTCTCCCCAGGGATGTGGTCACTCCGGGCAGAGGGTTCTCCCCAGGGATGTGGTCACTCCGGGCGGAGGGTTCTCCCCAGGGATGTGGTCACTCCGGGCGGAGGGTTCTCCCCAGGGATGTGGTCACTCCGGGCGGAGGGTTCTCCCCAGGGATGTGATCACTCCGGGCGGAGGGTTCTCCCCAGGGATGTGGTCACTCCGGGCGGAGGGTTCTCCCCAGGGATGTGATCACTCCGGGCGGAGGGTTCTCCCCAGGGATGTGGTCACTCCGGGTGGAGGGTTCTCCCCAGGGATGTGGTCACTCCGGGCGGAGGGTTCTCCCCAGGGATGTGGTAACTCCGGGCGGAGGGTTCTCCCCAGGGATGTGGTCACTCCGGGCAGAGGGTTCTCCCCAGGGATGTGGTCACTCCGGGCGGAGGGTTCTCCCCAGGGATGTGGTCACTCCGGGCGGAGGGTTCTCCCCAGGGATGTGGTCACTCCGGGCGGAGGGTTCTCCCCAGGGATGTGATCACTCCGGGCGGAGGGTTCTCCCCAGGGATGTGGTCACTCCGGGCGGAGGAGATGGGCGATCATAAGGTTGTAGCGAGCCACAGTGCTGCCATCCTGGCGCTTGGTCTTCAGCTTGGCCAGCTCCTGCAGGCACTCCATCAGGAAGGCCTCCTGATCCTCCGTCGGGATCCTCTTCAAGAAAGGGTTCACTGCCTTAATGGCATCTGGTGAGGAAGAAAAGGGTCCGGTCTTCAAGCGCGTTCTATTTATCGGAGTTCATGTGTTGCTACCGTAAAAATAGCTACATCAGATGTTGCAAACATAACAAGATTGCTACAAGAGGTGTTGCAACTACATCAACATTGGTACAAGAAGTGTTGCATCCATTTCGAAGTATTTCGAAGTCAAGTAAAGTCTACAGAATATTAGGTAACAATTAATCTACGAGTCTTGGCTCACTCTCCCAGTCTACCAGTGTTATGTCTACCAGTCTACCAGTGTTACGAGTGCTGTGCAGTGTTCACCAGCTGTGAAGTGAACACAAGCACCAGCTGGTGTTCCTACTCACCACCCCCTCCACCGTCCCGCAGCCCACTTACTCCTCAAGTAGTTGATATTGTCGAAGACGAACTCCAGCTCCGGGGCTTCGCAGGAGACAATCTGGAAGCCGATGTCCTCGGCCAGGTCCATCATGTCCTGGGCTGGGTCCGTCTTGTGCTGGTACACCGACACGAAGTTGTTCACGTCCTGTAGGTGTACACAAGTCCTATAGCTGTGGTAGACACACACACACACACCATGCAGCTGTGGTAGGCACCCACACACACCATGCAGCTGTGGTAGACATCCACACACACACCATGCAGCTGTGGTAGACACCCACACACACACCATGCAGCTGTGGTAGACACCCACACACACCATGCAGCTGTGGTAGACACACACACACACACCATGCAGCTGTGGTAGACACACACCATGCAGCTGTGGTAGACACACACACACACCATGCAGCTGTGGTAGACACACACACACACCATGCAGCTGTGGTAGACACACACACACACCATGCAGCTGTGGTAGACACACACACACACACACCATGCAGCTGTGGTAGACATCCACACACACCATGCAGCTGTGGTAGACATCCACACACCATGCAGCTGTGGTAGACACCTACACACACCATGCAGCTGTGGTAGACACACACACACACCATGCAACTGTGGTAGACACCCACACACACCATGCAGCTGTGGTAGACACACACACACACCATGCAACTGTGGTAGACACCCACACACACCATGCAACTGTGGTAGACACACACACACACCATGCAGCTGTGGTAGACATCCACACACACACCATGCAGCTGTGGTAGACACACACACACCATGCAGCTGTGGTAGACACACACACACACCATGCAGCTGTGGTAGACATCCACACACACCATGCAGCTGTGGTAGACACACACACACCATGCAGCTGTGGTAGACACCCACACACACACCATGCAGCTGTGGTAGACACCCACACACACACACCATGCAGCTGTGGTAGGCATCCACACACACCATGCAGCTGTGGTAGACATCCACACACACACCATGCAGCTGTGGTAGACACACACACACCATGCAGCTGTGGTAGACACCCACACACACACCATGCAGCTGTGGTAGACACCCACACACACACACCATGCAGCTGTGGTAGGCACCCACACACACCATGCAGCTGTGGTAGACATACACACACACACCATGCAGCTGTGGTAGACACCCACACACACACCATGCAGCTGTGGTAGACACCCACACACACCATGCAGCTGTGGTAGACACACACACACACACCATGCAGCTGTGGTAGACACCCACACACACCATGCAGCTGTGGTAGACACACACACACACCATGCAGCTGTGGTAGACACACACACACACCATGCAGCTGTGGTAGACACACACACACACACCATGCAGCTGTGGTAGACACCCACACACACCATGCAGCTGTGGTAGACACCCACACACACCATATAGCTGTGGTAGACACACACCACAGCTGCGGCAGACACACCACACAGCTGCGACAGACACACCACACAGCTGCGGCAGACACACCACACAGCTGCGACAGACACACCACACAGCTGCGACACACACACCACACAGCTGCGTCAGACACACCACAGCTGCAGCAGACACACCACACAGCTGCGGCAGACACACAACACCTGCAGCAGACACACCACAGCTGCAGCAGACACGCCACACAGCTGCGACAAACACACCACAGCTGCAGCAGACACACCACACAGCTGCGACAAACACACCACAGGTGCCCACCTGCATGTACTGGTGCCAGCGGGACTTGTGGCTCATGTTCTGGTACATGGTGAAGAGCGGGTTGTGGGCCAGGAAGACCAGGAGGGCCTCCCCGCCCGGCTGCAGCAGCTGGTACATGTTGTTCAGACACGCATGCTGCCCCTGCACCCAGTGCAGGCAGTAGAACGAGAACACCTGTTATGAGATAACATGTTATACCGTCTCGTAACGACAATGCGCCCCCCCCCATCCCATAATATAACAAGGGGGTAGATAACTGCATGGTTCGTTGTAAACGATGTCACCGTTTGCTGGTTGGTGCGTTTCATGCGCCATGAATGTAAACAAAGGGACCGGGACACTTGCCCCGTGTGAGTTTCTAATCTATCATTCTATCACTTAATACTGTGCGAGCTGCGAAGCATTCCAAGGGTATCAATATTAATCTTGGGTCGTAAACCATATTATACTGGAGAGTATTTACATGAATTTACCAGAGGGGCCACTATTTCTAGTGGCCTCGATGGGGACAAAAATGCCGGTGGCTTGCCAAAAGTCCCTTCCCCCTGGCATCTTTATAAACCCCTCAAAGCCACTAATTTGGTAAACCATCAAAGCCATTGAACTTGGTAAACCCATGAAATCTCTGATCTGTTTACGGTAAGACTTTCACTGATCTTCGTAAACCCACAGAGCCGCTGGTCTTTCAGATTGACCATAATAAACCCGTAAAACTCACTGACCTTAGTAAAGCCACTCACAAACTCGCTGATATTAATAAACTCCAAAAGTCACTGAACAAAGTAAACTCCAAAAGAGACTGACCATAGTAAACTCAGGAAGCCACTGACCTTAGTAAAGCCATCGGGGAAGATCTGCCGAGGTTGGACAGCTCTCTCGATATCCAGGTGGTGGAAGGCGAGGCCGTCGTGCCTGAAGGTCTTAGAGGCGAAGGAGACCATCTCCTGGGAGACGTCCACCCCTACCACCTGCGTCACTGGCGGCAGCAGTGGCAGCAGCAGGTTCCTGGTCACGTCGCCTGTAGAGGGGTGAGCCTCGCCAGGTCAGGGCAGCCCACAGCAAAATGTGAGAATTTTATTCCTAGTGAAAATTAACAATAAGGTTCGTAGATGAACTAGTTTTAAGAGTGGAAGTTGATTAATGAAACTGATTGTAAATCTGATTTATAGAAGGAATCAGATTACCGGCCGTAGGATCACATGACTGTTGCAAGCGTAGATAGGATGAATTGAGTTTGGATGGATATAGATAGGAGCTGCTTCGTATGGGTTAATATCCCTTCCATTGTCCCCTTTATTCTTATGTAACCCTTTTGCAAACCTATTTTTGTCAAATTTTCTTAATTAAAGCGAACTTGTCAAAGTTAAAAAATCCGTCATGAACTTGTTGACTCAACCAGCCACACAGGCAACTTAATTCTCTGTAAATGTATTCCTCAAGCCTTCTATGGTGTTACATTGGTGTTAGTGGTGTTATACCCATTGTGACCCACCTGAGCCACTAACACTGTCACCCACCTGAACCACACTGTCACCCACCTGAGCCACAGCCCACGTCGAGGACGGTCTCGCCATCCTGGCGCCAGGCCATCTGAGGCAGGTACTCCGACAGCACCAGGAGGGCGTCCCGCCGCTGGAGACCGTTGGCTGCCACATACAGCTGTGCATCCTCCATCCTGCAGGTCACAACAGGTCACTAGATCATCACCACGGTCACGAGGTCAACCCCCATGACACTAAAGGGCCCACATGTCACCAGATATTCTAGTTCCTTCTCTTTTTTGCCTCGTTTAGGCCGGTAATGGACTGCCAAGGGGAATAGAGGCCCCTGGCTAATCAGGTTCGAATCCTTCATAAGCCAAGAGAAAACAAGAATCTCGAAAAGATGTTAATTAGTTATAATGAGAATCCGACATATTAAACAAATATTCTCTGTAATATTGAAAAAAGTCACTCGTTTAGACTTATATTAAGTAATTAAACTGATAAAATAATCCAAGGAAAAATAACATATATAGTTACCTTGACCGGCTGTTGATAGTGAGAGCGCGGGAAAACGGGTCCGTCTCTCCTTCAAACGTATTATACTCGGAAATCAAATCAGCTTTCCGCGTTGCTCGTTTGATTTTCCTCCTCACCGTATTTTGAATGATCAAAACAAAACAAATCAGGGCAAAACAAGGACCCGAAAATAGGATTCCTCTTCTATTAATCCAATTTCGAGAAGTTAAAGAATTAGGTACCCAACAGGGCTCCCTTACCTGCAACTGTCAAATACCCAAAGTGGCAAAGACAATTACAGTATTCCAGAACTTGGTAGTTGGATTGTTAGCAGACCAAGCAAACGAACGAGTCAATTGCTTGAGGTCTGGCCTCGCCCAAGGTGAGGACGAGGAGAAGGAGGAGGAGAGCCCGGTTATGGCCCTGCAGCGCTCCTCACAGTCTTATATACATAGCCTAGGGCAGTACACGCCCTAAGGTGTATTGTCTTGATGTGTATTTTTTGTTATCTTCTATACGATGGACGTTTGAGTGTAGTCCGATGAACAATGCTCGCGGTATAAATAGTACTATTATGTGAGGGTATGTTGGTGATGGCTTAGTTCATGAGGTATGTGGCCTCATACTCATCCTGTGAGTGTTGGAGGGAGGGTTACATACTCATCCTGTGAGTGTTGGAGGGAGGGTTACATACTCATCCTGTGAGTGTTGGAGGGAGGGTTACATACTCATCCTGTGAGTGTTGGAGGGAGGGTTACATACTCATCCTGTGAGTGTTGGAGGGAGGGTTACATACTCATCCTGTGAGTGTTGGAGGGAGGGTTACATACTCATCCTGTGAGTGTTGGTTTCACACTCATCCTGTGCGTGACAGTGGGGAAGGTTACACTCATCCAGTGAGTGACAGCGGGGAAGGTTACACTCATCCAGTGAGTGACAGTGGGGAAGGTTACACTCATCCTGTGAGTGACAGTGGGGAAGGTTACACTCATCCAGTGAGTGACAGCGGGGAAGGTTACACTCATCCAGTGAGTGACAGCGGGGAAGGTTACACTCATCCAGTGAGTGACAGTGGGGAAGGTTAAACACTCATCCTGTGAGTGACAGCGGGGAAGGTTACACTCATCCAGTGAGTGACAGTGGGGAAGGTTACACTCATCCAGTGAGTGACAGTGGGGAAGGTTACACTCATCCTGTGAGTGACAGTGGGGAAGGTTACACTCATCCTGTGAGTGACAGTGGGGAAGTTTACACACTCATCCTGTGAGTGACAGTGGGGAAGGTTAAACACTCATCCTGTGAGTGACAGCGGGGAAGGTTACACTCATCCAGTGAGTGACAGCGGGGAAGGTTAAACACTCATCCTGTGAGTGACAGCGGGGAAGGTTACACTCATCCAGTGAGTGACAGCGGGGAAGGTTACACTCATCCAGTGAGTGACAGTGGGGAAGGTTAAACACTCATCCAGTGAGTGACAGCGGGGAAGGTTACACTCATCCAGTGAGTGACAGCGGGGAAGGTTACACTCATCCAGTGAGTGACAGTGGGGAAGGTTAAACACTCATCCTGTGAGTGACAGCGGGGAAGGTTACACTCATCCAGTGAGTGACAGTGGGGAAGGTTACACTCATCCAGTGAGTGACAGTGGGGAACGTTACACTCATCCAGTGAGTGACAGCGGGGAAGGTTACACTCATCCAGTGAGTGACAGTGGGGAAGGTTACACTCATCCTGTGAGTGACAGCGGGGAAGGTTACACTCATCCTGTGAGTGACAGCGGGGAAGGTTACACTCATCCTGTGAGTGACAGCGGGGAAGGTTACACTCATCCTGTGAGTGACAGCGAGGAAGGTTACACTCATCCTGTGAGTGACAGTGGGGAAGGTTAAACACTCATCCTGTGAGTGACAGTGGGGAAGGTTACACTCATCCAGTGAGTGACAGCGGGGAAGGTTACACTCATCCAGTGAGTGACAGCGGGGAAGGTTAAACACTCATCCTGTGAGTGACAGCGGGGAAGGTTACACTCATCCTGTGAGTGACAGCGGGGAAGGTTACACTCATCCAGTGAGTGACAGCGGGGAAGGTTAAACACTCATCCTGTGAGTGACAGTGGGGAAGGTTACACTCATCCTGTGAGTGACAGCGGGCAAGGTTACACTCATCCTGTGAGTGACAGCGGGGAGGGTTACAGAGGCACAGACTGATCTTAGGAACTGAACCCCAAAACTTGTTTACCTAAACTGAACTAGTTACAGGGACGATATCGCTAACGACCCAATTACAATGTTAGTGTACCCGTTGTCTCCAGGCCGTCCAGTGGGTACAGCGGTACAGCGGTACAGCGGTACACGGAAAGAATCCTCTCTATGTTCCCGGCTCTGAACCTAGGGACCCGGGTTCCGTTCCCGCGTGGGTACAGAAATGATTTTGGCCACGTTTCCTTTCACCTCATGCATCTGTTGTGGGAACCGACTGTGAGATTTATATTTATTTAATTTATATGAATTTATATTTACGTTAATTTATATACTTCGATAGCAATTTGTATAATGATAAGTGGACTGTATTTCTGCAATAATCTCAATCTCACAAATCGATCCTCTACACATTAGGGGGGGGTTATTAAATTAATATATATGCAGCCAATCAAACTACAGTAACTACATACATTGAAAAGGTTCCTTATCTTATAGTACAGCAGGTTAGTCCACCAGGTATAACTAGGGTGTAGACACCAAATTATCCTCTTTGAGGTAGTTTCCATCACCCAGTAACTGGTGCACAAAATCTTGCATCCTCGTCTTGACCTGTCAAAAGTGCGCTAGCTGTGAAGCCAGAATCCTATATATGACAAGCTATATCAGAGAAAACACTATACAGTACATGGAACATTAAAGACCTGGCTTAATTACCTTTAGTTTGAGGCTTCCACGTGATCTAACCGGGACACCCTATATCCTGACATTAATGGCCATAAATGAATGATAAACGGGTTTCGGATAGACACTTAACTTGAATTGTAGACATCGTGTTGGAGATGGTACCTTTGGTTTCCATAACACTACGTCCAAGTAAAATTAACAGGAGCCGAATTTGCTCCCGTGTGAGCCTCTGGTCTCGTAATAAACAATGGCTGTTTAACACTCCATACTATTGACGTTACTGGCCGACATTGTCCAGAATGATAGGAGCCGAATTTGCTCCACACGTCTCGGAGGTGACACAACAATGGCTGCCCTCCTTCCTCACTCTGACGCCTGGCTTACATTGTCCACATTTCAGAAAGTGATAGAAGGGTCACATTTACTCTACTTTAATATTGATAATTAAGTTAATTTATATAAGATGTTTTATGATGGTAAAGTCCAAAGACTAATGTATTTAAGAATAATTCCCAGCAAAATAGCTGGTGAATTATAATAGTATGTGGTGATGATATCCCGTTTTCTTTAGACGGTAATTCCACTACAAGTTACGTTTTCTATGGGTAACTTGTTTATACAATACAGCTATTATCTGTATGATTATTAAATGGTGTCGGATTTTCCGACATCTGTTCACCTAGCAGTAAATAGGTTCCTGGGAGCTAGGAAACTGGTGAGGTCAGTATAGAGGTCAAATTACTGACTACCAGGTACCTGTTTACTGCTAGGTGAATAGGGTGAGTGAAAGAGCGCCCCCAAGGTGGGTGACAGGGGCTTCAGGGGGGGGGGGGGGAGTGGTCAGTGAAGAGGGGGTGGGGGGTTGGGGAGGGGGGGCGGGGGATTGGGGAGGGGGCTATTGTTCCGTAGGGTTAATCTGGTAACGACAATTGTACAGAGAACAGGGCTGTTATTCTTTTAGCTCAGCTGTGGTGGGTACGCGCCTGGATAAACTCACCTACAGGTACTCACTTATATACTCATCTATACGTACCCATCTAGACGCACTCACCTGGAGGTACTCTCCCAGATGTACTCGTATGTCTGAATATGAGTTACTTGTTGCAGTGACTCATCTTCCCCTTGAGGGTGTCAGGAATGGGGTTATGAGTCATCCCCTTCCCTTAAGAGTACCAGAACGGAGTTATGAGTCTCCTCTTATAAGGAGACTCATAACTCCCCCCCCCCCCTCCTTACTGACTCTTGGGCATAGTTATTTCATCAAATCACCTCACGGTCACTGATAGTAGAGTGGTTAAGGTACCATGTACACCCACATACACTGAATAATGTTGTGAATAATGAATTAAAAAAAGTCCACTTATGGATGTCAACTAGCTAACTAACACTAAACATAGAAAAGATCTACTACATCTTATTTGGAATCAAATCATCGAATGCAATTCAGCTACAGATAGACAACATTAACATCAGTAATAAAAATGATGGAAAGTTTCTTGGCCTATTCCTAGACAAGAGACTCAACTTCAGTACCCACATACAACACATAACTAAGAAAGTCTCTAAAATAGTTGGTATACTCTCCAAAATAAGATATTATGTTCCTAACTCTGCTCTCCTCTCACTATATTATGCACTAATCTACCCCTATCTTAATTATGGTATCTGTGCACGGGGGTCTACCACTGCAAACCACCTTAAGCCCATCATCACACAGCAAAAATCTGCTTTCAGACAACACTCAGCTCCCTTGTTTAACTCCCTAAACTTGCTAAATATTAACTCCCTCCACACATTCTCTTGTGTCAACTACATTTACAAACCCCTGTTCTTAAATGCAAACCATGCTCTGAAACTCTCCCTGGACAGATGTAATAGGACCCATTATCACCACACCAGAAATAAATATATCTTTGATATCCCCAGAGTCAAACTTAATCTGTGTAAACACTCTATGCAAATTAAGGGCCCTAGTCTATGGAACTCACTCCCTAGTGAATTGAAAAGCTGTCAAACTTTTGCCTCATTTAAAAACAAAAACAAAAAGTACCTAATTTCATCTTCGTAGTTTCCTACACTGAGCTTTGAATTGGCTCTGTATCTAGTGTTACCCAATCTCCCAATCTTTATGTACTTAACCCAAACAACTTTATCATTGTGTTCATTGCTGTCTTCTTTTATGTGCTAGCCATATACTGTATTGTGCCTGCTAAGTTTTGTTAAACTACCATTCAAGCTGTCATTACAATCAATTTGAGCTACCTATGGGCTTTAATATACCTACAATTTTCTCTCATCTTTTAATTTTTTTCTTGCTTTGTATCTGTTATCATTTTTATAAATTTTGCAAGTATTTACCTACTTAATATTTTCTTAGATTAAGGACCTGCCCGAAACGCTGCGTGTACTAGTGGCTTTACAAGACTGTAATTACTATGCTATGTATCATCACAATCCCAGTGTACCTTCTTGTATATATATAAATAAATAAATAATAAATAAATAAAGTGGCATAGTGTTCCTGGCCGTCTGGGTTCGAGTCACTTCTGGGGTGTGAAGTTTTCAGTTGCATATATGCTTGGGGAACATTCAAGCTTGTTCGCATTTGTGTTGCTCACGTGGCCCCACAAAGTGAGGTGATTTGATGAAATAACTATGCCCAAGCGTACCACCAAGTGCTGTCGGGATGTTGGGGAAATAGTCTCGGCTACCAACGTCTTTTGTACAGTCACGGTTGGTCGAGTGGTTAAAGAACCAGATACGCCATGGTGCATTGCACTCCTGTGGCTTTACAAGCTGTCTGGATTCGAATCCTTCTGGGGTGTGGAGTTTTCAGTTATAAGTTTTTCTCTACAATGTTGTCCCCGTTGGTAGTGCGACACTCGGCGCCTGGGGTAAGAGTGCCACCAGTTTCTTGAAGTTGGAGGATATTATATTTCAAATGTAAAAGAAGAGGATATGTCCTTCGGTAACCTAGCATCCTGGGAGGCAGCTCCCGTTCATTTGAAAGGGAGTATATATACAACCACACGTTTCAGATATAAACATTCTATGACACTTTTCTGACACATTAGCATACAATAAAGGATCTGTAGTCGGGGATTTTCCAAAACATGTTTAGTCTTCCTAATACAAATAGTCAAAGTCCCCCCCCCAAAAAAAAATAATATATGCAAATGTAGCATGTTTATTGCTATTATAAAATCAATAAATGAACTTAGGGAAAAACAATGACTACAGATTTTAGAGACATACTTTCTTCATATAAGGTGGGCGGGGCGTGGCGGTGGGCGGGGTGTAGCGGTGGGCGGGGGGCGTGGCGGTGGGGGTGGGGCGTGTGGCGGTGGGGGCGAGGTGTAGCGGTGGGCGTGTAGCGGTGGGGGCGGGGCGTGTGGCGGTGGGGGCGGGGCGGGGCGTGGCGGTGGGGGCGGGGAGTGGCCTGCCCGGGCGGGGCGTGGCGACGGTGGGGACGGGGCGTGGCCTGCCCGGGCGGGGCGTGGCGACGGTGGGGACGGGGCGTGGCCTGCCCACGGCGGGCGGCATCAGTGTCAGGAGAGCAGGCGTGTCGAGCGGACTATATATAGTGTGTCTCATACACACTCATTCTCACCTTGGATATTCATCTCTCACTCAAGTCGCCTCACCTCTCATCTAAGACGAGACTCACTCCTCACCGCTTGAGTGAAAACTTCTCCAGCATACTCACCTCTAACTCACAAGCTCTCAGGGTGAGTAACTGCCTACTCATCTGGCTGGTATTTCAATCCGGTGATGAGTTACAACCCATTTTCCTTTTTCCTTTAGTTTTATGGGCAGAAATATACCTCATGTTAACATCATGAACCTCCTAAATACTCCCTTTTATCAGAATTGTTTTTGTGGCATTTTTACCCAAAAATCCACAAAAGCGGGACAATTCGTCCGTTAAAACCGTTGTCTTCCGCGACATTCAAACAGATCGATTCAAAAGTGAATCCAAAATGTTCTTGAGTAAGAGTCCATGACCCGGCCAGGTCCGGAAGTTACACAAGAACACAACATGTGAAGAACACCGTCAGAACACCTGCAACCGGTTCATGCTAGGTCCTGTCACAGGTATTTATAGTATAAACAACTGTTATATAATAATATTTCCCGGTGTCTGGCGGACAGGAAGACAGTGTATCTAGGTACTTTTAGCCTTGTATGGAGGTCCCCTTTCCCCCAGGGGGGAAAACTACTGACCCTCCCCAGGAAACAACTGTTCACTGCCTGGGTGAACACAGCCATCAGGTGAAAGTACACGTGCCCAACCACTTCCATGCGGCCCGGGGAGGCCAGCAAGAAGCCAATTTGGCCAACATATAATTAAATATGTTAGTCATTCATTATTTGAAGTATATTATATTTTGAAGTGAATTTGAATAGCTTGAGCTACCTCATCCCTATGTGTTTATTTTACCACAATAAACTTATTTCAATTTCAAGTACTATGAAAACCTGAGGACATCCCTGGAAACACAAACCGAAACTGTCTCTATTTTCCGCTTGTTACAACTTGTAATAAAGTTGTTACATCTTGGCTTAACGTGTTTATGACGTATTAGAACGTTGTTACAACTTGCTATATTGGTTGCTATAACTGGTTAGGAGGTGTTAAAACTTGTTCGAACGTTGTACCAACGTCGTAGTTTCGGTGTGTGTTTGGTGGGATGTGTGTCCGGCCCTCCGCCTCTTGTGGTAGTCGTTATAGTCACGACCAACACCATACTATATATACCCACCGACAGCGACATTAGAAAGAATAAATGTGAACTATTGAGTAGGACAAACTGGAAAACTATTATATATTTATTTATTTATTTATATACAAGAAGGTACATTGGGTTTGTGAGGATACATAGCATAGTATTCACAATCTTGTAAAGCCTCTAGTACGCGCAGCGTTTCTGGCAGAGCAACAGAAGACAACACACAAGTATTGTTGACTTGTGTTGCTTTGACACACTAAGCTAGCCTATCCTAACATTCCTAGGCCTAATAACACCATATCTGAGGCTTAATATAGTACATATGTGTGCTATACTAGGCCTAGGGATATCTTAGTTTGTGTGTTTAGCTTCATTTATGTTGAAACAACATGGGCATGTATATGAGTGGGATTGGGTGGTTATAAATAGGAGTTGCCTCGTATGGGCCAATAGCCCTTCTGCAGTTACCTTTGTTCTTATGCAACAAAGTAACTGAATCAACAAAAAAAGCTATAACCCCACAACACAGCAGACCACAACCGAACAACACAGCAGACCACAACCTCCTCAACACAGCAGGCCACAACCCAACAACACAGCAGGCCACAACCTCACAACACAGCAGGCCACAACCCCACAACACAGCAGGCCACAACCTCACAACACAGCAGGCCACAACCCCACAACACAGCTGGCCACAACCTCACAACACAGCAGGCCACAACCCCACAACACAGCAGGCCACAACCTCACAACACAGCAGGCCACAACCCCACAACACAGCAGGCCACAACCTCACAACACAGCAGGCCACAACCCCACAACACAGCTGGCCACAACCTCACAACACAGCAGGCCACAACCCCACAACACAGCAGGCCACAACCTCACAACACAGCAGGCCACAACCCCACAACACAGCTGGCCACAACCTCACAACACAGCAGGCCACAACCTCACAACACAGCTGGCCACAAACCCACAACACAGCAGGTCACAACCCCACAACACAGCTGGCCACAACCTCACAACACAGCAGGCCACAACCCCACAACGCAGCTGGCCACAACCTCACAACACAGCAGACCACAACCTCACAACACAGCAGGCCACAACCCCACAACACAGCTGGCCACAACCTCACAACACAGCAGGCCACAACCTCACAACACAGCAGGCCACAACCCCACAACACAGCTGGCCACAACCTCACAACACAGCAGGCCACAACCCCACAACACAGCTGGCCACAACCTCACAACACAGCAGGCCACAACCTCACAACACAGCTGGCCACAAACCCACAACACAGCAGGTCACAACCCCAACAACACAGCTGGCCACAACCTCACAACACAGCAGGCCACAACCCCACAACACAGCTGGCCACAACCTCACAACACAGCAGACCACAACCTCACAACACAGCAGGCCACAACCCCACAACACAGCTGGCCACAACCTCACAACACAGCAGGCCACAACCTCACAACACAGCTGGCCACAAACCCACAACACAGCAGGTCACAACCCCACAACACAGCAGGTCACAACCCCACAACACAGCTGGCCACAACCTCACAACACAGCTGGCCACAACCTCACAACACAGCTGGTCACAACCCCACAACACAGCAGGCCACAACCCCACAACACAGCTGGCCACAACCTCACAACACAGCTGGCCACAACCCCACAACACAGCAGGTCACAACCCCACGACACAGCAGGCCACAACCCCACAACACAGCTGGCCACAACCCCACAACACAGCAGGTCACAACCCCACGACACAGCAGACCAGAACCCCACAACACAGCAGGCCAGCACAACACAGCAGGCTAGCACAACACAGCAGGCCACCACAACACAGCAGGCCAACACAACACAGCAGGCCAGCACAACACAGCAGGCCACCACAACACAGCAGGCCAGCACAATACAGCAGGCCAGCACAACACAGCAGGCCACCACAACACAGCAGGCCAGCACAACACAGCAGGCCACAACACAACACAGCAGGCCACCACAACACAGCAGGCCACCACAACACAGCTGGCCACAACCTCACAACACAGCTGGCCACAACCCCACAACACAGCAGGTCACAACCCCACGACACAGCAGGCCACAACCCCACAACACAGCTGGCCACAACCCCACAACACAGCAGGTCACAACCCCACGACACAGCAGACCAGAACCCCACAACACAGCAGGCCAGCACAACACAGCAGGCTAGCACAACACAGCAGGCCACCACAACACAGCAGGCCACCACAACACAGCAGGCCACCACAACACAGCAGGCCACAACACAGCAGGCCACCACAACACAGCAGGCCACCACAACACAGCAGGCCAGCACAACACAGCAGGCCAACACAACACAGCAGGCCAACACAACACAGCAGGCCAGCACAACACAGCAGGCCACCACAACACAGCAGGCCACCACAACACAGCAGGCCACCACAACACAGTAGGCCACAACACAACACAGCAGGCCACCACAACACAGCAGGCCACCACAACACAGCAGGCCACAACACAACACAGCAGGCCACAACACAACACAGCAGGCCAGCACAACACAGCAGGCCACCACAACACAGCAGGCCAGCACAACACAGCAGGCCAGCACAACACAGCAGGCCACCACAACACAGCAGGCCACCACAACACAGCAGGCCAGCACAACACAGCAGGCCACCACAACACAGCAGGCCACCACAACACAGCAGGCCACCACAACACAGCAGGCCAGCACAACACAGCAGGCCAGCACAACACAGCAGGCCAGCACAACACAGCAGGCCAGCACAACACAGCAGGCCACAACACAACACAGCAGGCCACAACACAACACAGCAGGCCACAACACAACACAGCAGGCCAGCACAACACAGCAGGCCAGCACAACACAGCAGGTCAGCACAACACAGCAGGCCACCACAACACAGCAGGCCACCACAACACAACAGGCCACAACACAACACAGCAGGCCACAACACAACACAGCAGGCCACAACACAACACAGCAGGCCAGCACAACACAGCAGGCCAGCACAACACAGCAGGTCAGCACAACACAGCAGGCCACAACACAACACAGCAGGCCACCACAACACAGCAGGCCACCACAACACAGCAGGCCACCACAACACAGCAGGCCACCACAACACAGCAGGCCACCACAACACAGCAGGCCACCACAACACAGCAGGCCAACACAACACAGCAGGCCACCACAACACAGCAGGCCACCACAACACAGCAGGCCACCACAACACAGCAGGCCAGCACAACACAGCAGGCCAGCACAACACAGCAGGCCAGCACAACACAGCAGGCCAGCACAACACAGCAGGCCAACACAACACAGCAGGTCAGCACGGGAGACAAAGATGGCGTGCAGGCCAGGCAATATAACTCTAATGTTGACTCACAAAATACGAAGATTTGTAGAGCTTCGTGTGTGTGTTGATCCCTTGCCTGGTGAACGGGCGGGTACACATCTGTCTCTCTCTCTCTCTGTCTGTCTGTCTGTCGTGCTGACTGTCACCCGTTGTCTCTGTGTCACCCCCTTGAACCTGTGTCTGTCTGACTGTCTGCCAATATTCCCGTCTCTGTGCCTGTCTCTCACCTGTGTAAGGTTAGTGTTGGCCTTATGGGAACCTCACACCTCATGCCTCTGTTCACCTAGTGGCTTGCGTCACGTGGAAGTTCAGTGGTTGGAGAACCCGAACCACACCCCGGCGACCATTTTTTTGGGGGGGGGCAGGGGAACTTTCGACAACCCGCCGGCATCCTGTTCGCGTCGAGGACACTAGTGTCAGTGGCCCTGAGGTAGATTCAGGTAAATTATGCCATCAAGTTCAAGTTTTACTTTTACACCGAGAGGCGAGAGTATTGGGCAGCGTCACTCATCCTGTGAGTAGACACACCACCATATTGACAGTATTGGGCAGCACCACTCATCCTGTGAGTGGACACACCGCCATAGTGACAGTATTGGGCAGCGTCACTCATCCTGTGAGTGGACACACCACCATAGTGACAGTATTGGGCAGCGCCACTCATCTTGTGAGTGGACACACCGCCATAGTGACAGTATTGGGCAGCGTCACTCATCCTGTGAGTGGACACACCACCATAGTGACAGTATTGGGCAGCACCACTCATCTTGTGAGTGGACACACCACCATAGTGACAGTATTGGGCAGCGCCACTCATCTTGTGAGTGGACACACCGCCATAGTGACAGTATTGGGCAGCGGCACTCATCCTGTGAGTGAACACACCACCATAGTGACAGTATTGGGCAGCGCCACTCATCTTGTGAGTGGACACACCGCCATAGTGACAGTATTGGGCAGCACCACTCATCCTGTGAGTGGACACACCGCCATAGTGACAGTATTGGGCAGCGTCAATCATCCTGTGAGTGGACACACCGCCATAGTGACAGTATTGGGCAGCGTCACTCATCCTGTGAGTGGACACACCGCCATAGTGACAGTATTGGGCAGCGCCACTCATCCTGTGAGTGGACACACCGCCATAGCGACAGTATTGCGCAGCGCCACTCATCCTGTGAGTGGACACACCGCCATAGTGACAGTATTGGGCAGCGTCACTCATCCTGTGAGTGGACACACCACCATATTGACAGTATTGGGCAGCACCACTCATCCTGTGAGTGGACACACCGCCATAGTGACAGTATTGGGCAGCGTCACTCATCCTGTGAGTGGACACACCACCATAGTGACAGTATTGGGCAGCGCCACTCATCTTGTGAGTGGACACACCGCCATAGTGACAGTATTGGGCAGCGTCACTCATCCTGTGAGTGGACACACCACCATAGTGACAGTATTGGGCAGCACCACTCATCTTGTGAGTGGACACACCACCATAGTGACAGTATTGGGCAGCGCCACTCATCTTGTGAGTGGACACACCGCCATAGTGACAGTATTGGGCAGCGGCACTCATCCTGTGAGTGAACACACCACCATAGTGACAGTATTGGGCAGCGCCACTCATCTTGTGAGTGGACACACCGCCATAGTGACAGTATTGGGCAGCACCACTCATCCTGTGAGTGGACACACCGCCATAGTGACAGTATTGGGCAGCGTCATTCATCCTGTGAGTGGACACACCGCCATAGTGACAGTATTGGGCAGCGTCACTCATCCTGTGAGTGGACACACCGCCATAGTGACAGTATTGGGCAGCGCCACTCATCCTGTGAGTGGACACACCGCCATAGTGACAGTATTGGGCAGCGTCATTCATCCTGTGAGTGAACACACCGCCATAGTGACAGTATTGGGCAGCGTCATTCATCCTGTGAGTGAACACACCGCCATAGTGACAGTATTGGGCAGCGCCACTCATCCTGTGAGTGGAAACACCGCCATAGTGACAGTATTGGGCAGCGTCACTCATTCTGTGAGTGGACACACCGCTATAGTGACAGTATTGGGCAGCGTCACTCATTCTGTGATTGGACACACTTCCATAGTGACAGTATTGGGCAGCGTCACTCATCCTGTGATTGGACACACTTCCATAGTGACAGTATTGGGCAGCGTCACTCATCCTGTGAGTGGACACACTTCCATAGTGACAGTATTGGGCAGCGTCACTCATCCTGTGAGTGGACACACTTCCATAGTGACAGTATTGGGCAGCGTCACTCATCCTGTGATTGGACACACCGCCATAGTGACAGTATTGCGCAGCGCCACTCATCCTGTGAGTGGACACACCGCCATAGTGACAGTATTGGGCAGCGCCACTCATCCTGTGAGTGGACACACCGCCATAGCGACAGTATTGGGCAGCGCCACTCATCCTGTGAGTGGACACACCGCCATAGTGACAGTATTGCGCAGCGCCACTCATCCTGTGAGTGGACACACCACCATAGTGACAGTATTGAGCAGCGCCACTCATCCTGTGTGATGACACACCGCCATAGTGACAGTATTGCGCAGCATCACTCATCCTGTGAGTGGACACACCGCCATAGTGACAGTATTGGGCAGCGCCACTCATCCTGTGAGTGGACACACCGCCATAGTGACAGTATTGGGCAGCGCCACCCATCCTGTGAGTGGACACACCGCCATAGCGACAGTATTGGGAAGCGCCACTCATCCTGTGAGTGGACACACCGCCATAGCGACAGTATTGGGCAGCGCCACCCATCCTGTGAGTAGACACACCGCCATAGCGACAGTATTGGGCAGCGCCACTCATCCTGTGAGTGGACACACCGCCATAGTGACAGTATTGGGCAGCGCCACTCATCCTGTGAGTGGACACACCGCCATAGCGACAGTATTGGACAGCGCCACTCATCCTGTGAGTGGACACACCGCCATAGTGACAGTATTGCGCAGCGCCACTCATCCTGTGAGTGGACACACCGCCATAGTGACAGTATTGGTCAGCGCCACTCATCCTGTGAGTGGACACACCGCCATAGTGACAGTATTGCGCAGCGCCACTCACCCTGTGAGTGGACACACCGCCATAGTGACAGTATTGGTCAGCGCCACTCATCCTGTGAGTGGACACACCGCCATAGTGACAGTATTGCGCAGCGCCACTCATCCTGTGAGTGGACACACCGCCATAGTGACAGTATTGGGCAGCGTCACTCATCCTGTGAGTGGACACACCGCCATAGTGACAGTATTGGTCAGCGCCACTCATCCTGTGAGTGGACACACCGCCATAGTGACAGTATTGCGCAGCGCCACTCATCCTGTGAGTGGACACACCGCCATAGTGACAGTATTGGGCAGCGTCACTCATCCTGTGAGTGGACACACCGCAATAGCGACAGTATTGGGTAGCGCCACTCATCCTGTGAGTGGACACACCGCCATAGTGACAGTATTGGGCAGCGCCACTCATCCTGTGAGTGGACACACCGCCATAGTGACAGTATTGGGCAGCGCCACTCATCCTGTGAGTGGACACACCGCCATAGTGACAGTATTGGGCAGCGCCACTCATCCTGTGAGTGAACACACCGCCATAGTGACAGTATTGGGCAGCACCACTCATCCTGTGAGTGGACACACCGCCATAGCGACAGTATTGGGCAGCGCCACTCATCCTGTGAGTGGACACACCGCCATAGCGACAGTATTGGGCAGCACCACTCATCCTGTGAGTGGACACATCGCCACAGCAGCATGTGCCACACTCCCCAATAGGAAGAAAACCCGCTGGGATGTTGATCGTGTTGCCAGCCCTCAACTGGTGCACAGAACCCCGCACTGATCACTGGGGTCCACACCGTCTCGCCTGCCCCCGGCCGTTACTGTGGGGGCGAGGCTCCCACACCACACTGTCGTGCTGGGAAAGAGGGAATTAGGAATTGGAGAAGCAAACACACAAATGGAAGTTGGGAGCTTGAGACGTAGATGGACAAGTTGGTGAGGTAGACGATAATGGCGGGAAATAGATAATGGAGAGACATGTACAGACAATGGGAAGAGGTAGACAAAGCTGGGATATAGGCAGACAAGGAGGAGAGGTAGATAGATAGGGGTAGAGGTAGATAGGGGCTGGGGAAGAGGTAGATAGACAATGGTGAGAAACAGTCAGACAAGTGGGAGAGATAGACAGTGCTTAGGGCCCCATGTGCCGCCATATTGTTCTGCCGTATCATATCGGTAGGGGCCCCCCAGTGTTCATCATCTGGGTAGGGGGCCCAGTGTTCATCATCTGGGTAGGGGGCCCAGTGCCCATCATCTGGGTAGGGGCCCCAGTGTTCATCATCTGGGTAGGGGCCCCCCAGTGTTCATCATCTGGGTAGGGGGCTCTAGTGCCCATCATCTGGGTAGGGGCCCCAGTGTTCATCATCTGGGTAGGGGCCCCAGTGTTCATCATCTGGGTAGGGGCCCCCCAGTGTTCATCATCTGGGTAGGGTCCCCCCAGTGTTCATCATCTGGGTAGGGGCCCCCCAGTGTTCATCATCTGGGTAGGGGGCTCTAGTGCCCATCATCTGGGTAGGGGCCCCAGTGTTCATCATCTGGGTAGGGGGCTCTAGTGCCCATCATCTGGGTAGGGGGCTCTAGTGCCCATCATCTGGGTAGGGGGCCCAGTGTTCATCATCTGGGTAGGGGGCCCAGTGCCCATCATCTGGGTAAGGCTTCTCAAATGTGGTTCCCTTGTAAGCGCTCCGCAAGTTCTGGTTGTCCACGTGTGTACTGTGGGCTCCTGTATCAGGTTAGGTCCACGACTGTAGGTTTGGACGTTTCTCTGCGGTGCCAGCGAGTTCCCCTTTGTTAAGTTGTGGGCGCCAGGTTGCAGACCTGCTCGGGCGAGGTGGTCCTTCATGGATTTCCCTCGCCTCTATGCAGTCATCGGTGGAACCTGTGGGGAACTTCACCCAGGAGGGGGGTTTCGCCGCATGTCTGCCTAATCCAGGTCCACACGTCTGTGAACTATCGCTTCAGATTCACCGCGAGGGGCAGGACAAAATTAAGTTCAGGAGGATCCACCTCTTATCCTCCACTCGAGGAGCTGGGGGCTGGAGCAGCTGTGTTCTAGTCCTCCCTCGTAGTTTCTCCTGGGCATGCTGCAGCATTTCCTCGGGGTCGTCTCTATTCCTAAACATCTCCCAAAGGTCTTCCAAAGTTGTGGGTACATCTCCCAAAGTTGTGGGTACAGGGTTTCGTCTTTGCTGTTTATCTTCTTTAAGAAATAACCAGAGGTGCGGGATGGCAGACTCAAAGGCTACATAGGCAAGTCCCTTGCCTTCTCTTGCATGAGTCCTCTGTTCCCATCTCAGGGAAAATAAGGTTTTCATAAAGTTTGAGTACTATGTTTCTGCTCCTTGTCTGGGCGTATTTCAGGGCAGTGTCTTTATTCAGGGTCCGCTGGTATGTTGCTGTGTCTGCTAGATGTCTGTTCATCTCACGGCTGAAGTTGTATCGTCTGTCTACAGACGACGACAACGCCTTCCTTATCCGCAGTCATCATCTGGGTAGGGGTCCCTAGTGCCCATCATCTGGGTAGGGGGTCCCCAGTGCCCATCATCTGGGTAGGGGGTCCCCAGTGCCCATCATCTGGGTAGGGGGTCCCCAGTGCCCACTACCTGGGTAGGGGGTCCCCAGTGCCCATCATCTGGGTAGGGGGTCCCCAGTGCCCATCATCTGGGTAGGGGGTCCCCAGTGCCCATCATCTGGGTAGGGGGTCCCCAGTGCCCATCATCTGGGTAGGGGGTCCTCAGTGCCCATCATCTGGGTAGGGGGTCCCCAGTGCCCATCATCTGGGTAGGGGGTCCCCAGTGCCCATCATCTGGGTAGGGGGTCCTCAGTGCCCATCATCTGGGTAGGGGGTCCCCAGTGCCCATCATCTGGGTAGGGGGTCCCCAGTGCCCATCATCTGGGTAGGGGGTCCTCAGTGCCCATCATCTGGGTAGGGGGTCCTCAGTGCCCATCATCTGGGTAGGGGGTCCCCAGTGCCCATCATCTGGGTAGGGGGTCCCCAGTGCCCACTACCTGGGTAGGGGGTCCCCAGTGCCCATCATCTGGGTAGGGGCGCTGTTGTCATCTCCAGTACCCTGTACTGAACAACTCATCACCAAACCCTTTCTTAAACCTAAAATATATACTCATCATAATGCACTTGCTTTGGATGAGCTTCAGCTCCTAGCTCCCGCCTCTCTTATACTCCCGAGTGGAGTATATAGATTCCAGAGCCTCTTGCTTCTGTCATATCTACATATATGTGGATCTTCCTCCGCCTCTATGTCATTAAGTCTTCAGGTCCAGACGTCTTCAAGCATTTACACAACCAATTACGATACTTCTGCGTCTTTCCTTAATCACGACGGCATTGTTCATATTTATTAAACAGTTTAGGAGCGTGAGAAACTTCACAACCCAAGGTTATTGTTGTTATAAACAACTTCGTAGTGCTTCGCAGCTCATAAACTGTTAACTACATGTAAACACAGCCGCCACGACGGAGGAAAGATGCACAGGTTTCGTTGGTGGTTGCACAAATACTTGATAAATCCTGGCCCTAGTTCTGAATTCAGTTTTCCTTATGTCTGTTGCTTATTTGGGTACATAGTTTCCATCTATGTCTCCTTATTCATGTAACTCCCATTCTAAATATTTGGTTTTTGTATATTACCTTAAGTATTTTGTATGTCTTTATCATGTTTCATGACGTGGAGAATAAATACAGTAGTCTTTCCTCGTAGCTCATACCTCTCAGGTCTGAGACTAGTCTGGTGGCATAACTCTAAACTTTCTCTAACTTCGCTGTGTATTTAAGGAGATAGGGACGTCACCCTGGTGCTGCTTATTCCAGAATTCTTCTCAATGGCTACTGCTGGCTATATTAGGTACGTTAGCCACGTTACTTTGACACGTTAGGGTAAGCAAGGACTACGACAGCTTAGGGTAGGTTATGACTACAATAAGTTAGTTGAGGTAAGAGTTACAGCAGTTTAGTAAAATGTTAGGATAGGTAAGAATTACTTTTAAAGCCTTAAAAAACATTAAATTCGAGTTTACCTCACGACAAAAGTGAACTTACAGTGTGCACAGATTGGCTACACCTGCCATGACATAGCCAGAGTATACAAGGACTAAAGGACAGATGTTCCACATAAAGGCCAATCACCCGTGACAGTTGGCTTATACTATGCATTCTGAAATAAAAACAATTAGATGATATTAAATGGGTGTACATGTGTGAGAAACCTGAGTAATTCTTTCAGTGTCTGCACTTGTCATGATGAGTAATTGGTGTTCTCAATACCCTTAACAACCCAGCAGAGGCCTATCAACCTCTGGAGGGTTATTAAGGCCTGTCAACCTCTGGAGGGTTATTAAGGCCTATCAACCTCTGGAGGGTTATTAAGGCCTGTCAACCTCTGGAGGGTTATTAAGGCCTATCAACCTCTGGAGGGTTATTAAGGCCTATCAACCTCTGGAGGGTTATTAAGGCCTATCAACCTCTGGAGGGTTATTAAGGCCTATCAACCTCTGGAGGGTTATTAAGGCCTATCAACCTCTGGAGGGTTATTAAGGCCTATCAACCTCTGGAGGGTTATTAAGGCCTATCAACCTCTGGAGGGTTATTAAGGCCTATCAACCTCTGGAGGGTTATTAAGGCCTATCAACCTCTGGAGGGTATTTAAGGCCTATCAACCTCTGGAGGGTTATTAAGGCCTATCAACCTCTGGAGGGTTATTAAGGCCTATCAACCTCTGGAGGGTTATTAAGGCCTATCAACCTCTGGATGGTTATTAAGGCCTATCAACCTCTGGAGGGTTAATAACCCCTCCAGAGGTTGATAGGCCTTAATAAGACCTATCAACCTCTGGAGGGTTATTAAGACCTATCAACCTCTGGAGGGTTATTAAGACCTATCAACCTCTGGAGGGGTTATTAAGACCTATCAACCTCTGGAGGGGTTATTAAGACCTATCAACCTCTGGAGGGGTTATTAAGACCTATCAACCTCTGGAGGGGTTATTAAGACCTATCAACCTCTGGAGGGGTTATTAAGACCTATCAACCTCTGGAGGGTTATTGAGACCTATCAACCTCTGGAGGGTTAATAACCCCTCCAGAGGTTGATAGGCCTTAATAAGACCTATCAACCTCTGGAGGGGTTATTAAGACCTATCAACCTCTGGAGGGGTTATTAAGACCTATCAACCTCTGGAGGGCAATTAAGACTTATCAATCCCTAGAGGGTTGATAGACAGGCTACACTTGGGTGTTGATACACAGCAATAAAATACACTTGGAGAGATTCTTGTAATAAAGAAGTATCGTATATATTCACCCCGACTGAGGACCGTCCAGGGGTGCGGGTATATATTCACTCAGACTGAGGACCGTCCAGGGGTGCGGGTATATATTCACTCAGACTGAGGACCGTCCAGGGGTGCGGGTATATATTCACTCAGACTGAGGACCGTCCAGGGGTGCGGGTATATATTCACTCAGACTGAGGACCGTCAAGGAGGTGCGGGTATATATTCACCCTGACTGAGGACCGTCCAGGGGTGCGGGTATATATTCACCCCGACTGAGGACCGTCCAGGGGTGCGGGTATATATTCACCCCGACTGAGGACCGTCCAGGGGTGCGGGTATATATTCACTCAGACTGAGGACCGTCAAGGAGGTGCGGGTATATATTCACCCCGACTGAGGACCGTCCAGGGGTGCGGGTATATATTCACCCCGACTGAGGACCGTCCAGGGGTGCGGGTATATATTCACCCCGACTGAGGACCGTCCAGGGGTGCGGGTATATATTCACTCAGACTGAGGACCGTCAAGGAGGTGCGGGTATATATTCACCCCGACTGAGGACCGTCCAGGGGTGCGGGTATATATTCACCCCGACTGAGGACCGTCCAGGGGTGCGGGTATATATTCACCCTGACTGAGGACCGTCCAGGGGTGCGGGTATATATTCACTCAGACTGAGGACCGTCAAGGAGGTGCGGGTATATATTCACCCCGACTGAGGACCGTCCAGGGGTGCGGGTATATATTCACCCTGACTGAGGACCGTCCAGGGGTGCGGGTATATATTCACTCAGACTGAGGACCGTCCAGGGGTGCGGGTATATATTCACTCAGACTGAGGACCGTCCAGGGGTGCGGGTATATATTCACTCAGACTGAGGACCGTCCAGGGGTGCGGGTATATATTCACTCAGACTGAGGACCGTCCAGGGGTGCGGGTATATATTCACTCAGACTGACGACCGTCCAGGGGTGCGGGTATATATTCACCCTGACTGAGGACCGTCCAGGGGTGCGGGTATATATTCACCCTGACTGAGGACCGTCCAGGGGTGCGGGTATATATTCACTCAGACTGAGGACCGTCAAGGAGGTGCGGGTATATATTCACCCCGACTGAGGACCGTCCAGGGGTGCGGGTATATATTCACCCTGACTGAGGACCGTCCAGGGGTGCGGGTATATATTCACTCAGACTGAGGACCGTCCAGGGGTGCGGGTATATATTCACCCTGACTGAGGACCGTCCAGGGGTGCGGGTATATATTCACCCTGACTGAGGACCGTCCAGGGGTGCGGGTATATATTCACCCCGACTGAGGACCGTCCAGGGGTGCGGGTATATATTCACCCCGACTGAGGACCGTCAAGGAGTGCGGGTATATATTCAGCCCGACTGAGGACCGTCCAGGGGTGCGGGTATATATTTACCCCGACTGAGGACCGTCCAGGGGTGCGGGTATATATTCACCCCGACTGAGGACCGTCCAGGGGTGCGGGTATATATTCACCCCGACTGAGGACCGTCCAGGGGTGCGGGTATATATTCACCCTGACTGAGGACCGTCAAGGAGTGCGGGTATATATTCACCCTGACTGAGGACCGTCCAGGGGTGCGGGTATATATTCACCCCGACTGAGGACCGTCAAAAGATGTTCATAAATTCGCTTTAATGTAACATTTTAATCCGGTTAGTGAGAATCTTGCGTGGAAACGGACCAAATAAACGGCAAGAAATAATTCTGCATTTTTGCATTAAGGTAAAAATATATAATACGTAATCAGGGCCGTTCTGCTCCTCACATTAAACTCTCGTAATGGCTCAAGGTTCCCGCCATCATCGGAGAATTTATTTTAATTGTTGTATTAACTGGCAATCAGTTTAATTGTGGTTTTTATCTTTAGGGAAGATTTTATTGTTGTTATTATTATTATTATTATTATTATTGTTTTTATTATTTTATTAATGTTGGTTTATTTACATATATTATGTTATTATT